TATCGTCAATTAATATCTTCAGTTTTGTCAATCTGAAAAGTGAACTCCTCGCTTTTTTTAAGATGGCCTTATTATAAATTAGAAAGAATGACTATATGATATGCCAAGTTTCATTTTTTTGGATTTCTCACTATTAAGAGAAATCTATAATACATGTGCAGTACATACACAAGTAAGCAAAAAAGCAAGTGTAGCACGCATTTTTTTTTCAGGTTTTTTTAAGAAAATTTTCTACCTCAATTATTAAAACTCTGCTTGACGCTCAAATTAGCTAAAATAATTATAAAAGTATCTACAACACCAAATGCATTTGACACTCCACAAGACAATATAAATCCAACGCCTACAACACCACCACATTTACATAGTTTACTACATGATCACTTTTTATCTTTAGTCCCACGAAATTATAGAAACACACTAGCAAATTACGGAACATACCTCTCAAGGATTAGCTTTCCAGGAAGTCTAGTATCTCATTTAGCATTTCAGCAGTCAAATACTGAAGACAAATATGAGAAAACTATAGAACAACCACACACACACAATTTCCGTTCTCAAAACAACCATCTTTTTAGCACACGATTAGCCGACAGATTGGATCCCTCAACCGCTCCCTGTCCTACCCATCTAACCACCAACGCCAGTCCTTTCGCATTTCACTTTCCGACCTCACCTCTTCTCCTATAGCCATTCTTTTTCTAACTCACCACGCAAGGATTCAGATGACTCAACACAAACAGTTTTTGACACCATCTCTAACTTTAATAACTCCGATGTAGAAATTTCCGATGAACCCAGCCCGTCCACTTTTTCAGAACCAACACTCCAGCCCCTTATTCCCCAGCTTCCTAATGAAATATCTCCTTCAGCCTCTTCGTACACTGATGCTACCCCTATTCTTTCGCCGATGTCAAGCAAGCGAACAACCCGATGCACCTAGCCCTATAACAGATAATTAATTCGAGCATGAGTTAGATAATTCCATTACACAACAACACCTTCATAACACAAATAATGCTTCAACAATTCACCAACTAACACACTCTGACTCAACATTCGAGTCCTCAAGTCACTCAGCTAATACAGCATCCACCAGAGCACATATAGTTTTTAAACGCAAACACCGTAATCTTTTACCCCAATATCTTAATAGACATCCCCGATCATCCCAACAATCTGATGGAAACACAACATACTAACACCAAAAAAAATTTAGTTCATGACTTCCCATTTTTCCCCAAAAAAACTTACTATGCGACGACTAACGACAACCAACAGAAAAATTATTCGTTGACGAATTTTCCTTGTTTCCTACACTCTCTTGGACTTCAAACTACTATTTCACTAACCCATTAGACCTTCCTCTATACAACACCCGCAGAGACAACGAACTATGCCAATCTCGTCTTCATAAACTAGCAACTGCACTTCACGAAAAACAATTTACCACAATTGGAATAACTCAAACTCTAAATCGCTAAGTTGCACAACGCGCTAAGCCATTCTCAAAATATCACTATGATCATGCAATAACTAGATATATGGAATATACCCCGGATGTGGACCATCTCAATACCAACCCTCAACTAACATAAAAATTAATCATTCGACTGAATATGTATTTTACATAGATAGTACCAAACAAAATTGACAATATTATTGCTACCGCACTAAAAAAACACTAAAGCTTACGAATCATACTTTCAAAAATTTAATCATTCTGCACTAACACTCCACTTCCTCACAACTAAAGAAGGAGACCTACATTGTTCACATGAAAGAATGCTAAGAACGAAACTAACTCACACATACACATAATATAATTGTATACAACACCACTACACAACTAACACACAAAAACGTAACCCACAATATCGCTTTATGTTTATAAATCAAAGTATACGTCACCATATCTTTTAAATTTCATTTACACCATAAAATCGACTAATCTCCACGGCATCATCCGTAATTATGATCCCGTTCGCCAGATGTATATATTCTGCCCACTAAACACTTCTTTCTCCCTTGACGAATCCCGCACACTAATAGTTCCCCAAGAATATATACAGCACGTTGAAGTCGCCATACTAGAATACAATCACAACACTAAATTCAACCACAAGTTATTTAACTTAATTCAGAACACAAGTCATGAATTCTCGCTACAAACAAAAGAACCAAAAATCATCAGAGCGCTAGAGCTTCTCTGGTCTCTGCTCAAAACTAAAAACATAATCATCATGCTTGCGAAATTAATAGTAGCATCAGACACAGTCCGAACTTCCCCATTGGATTGTTTTTATGATGAAGAACCTCTGTAAATATGAATATAACTATTTAAACTAACAATTAAAACCAAACACTCACCATTCTTTATGGATTGCTCATTTTTATAATTAAGAGTTCATGATTCATTCACCTAAGAGAAACAAAAATAAACAAAAAAAAGCACAAACTCTTTCTCTAAGTTTTTTGAATTTTTATTTAACAACGCGAATAAATTAATGATCGCAGTAATTTTCAATGAAAAAGCGTTAAAGTGATAGCTCTGCTGTAAAAATCAAAAATTCAAGCAGTTATTTAATAAAATTGAAAAAAACTACAATAAAGTAACTTTTTTATGAAAGCTTCTTTTGTGAATTTCAATTAGTCTTTTCACCCGCCCACAATTCACACACTCTTTCCACCAAACTCGCACAATTCGCCCACGTACAATTGTTTAATAATTGAATTTCAGATTCAAAATCTCACTGATAACAATTCTAATTTATATTCAGGTGCTTCAAACTTTACTTTAACCCGGTTGGGAGGAAATATAGGAGTCAGCTCAAACTATTCAACGCAGCATACTAATTCCACAAAACCAACAGCATGAAAAAGAAAATCGCACGGTACCCAAACCGGATTAAACCCAGATTAAAACTGAGTAAAACATTCTTTGAAACCCACTGAAACCAAATGAAACAAAAAAATCAAACAAAAACCCAAAACACAATAATTTAATTTTGAGAAAAGGACACAACCAAAACAGAAAAAGAGACGATCACTTGATAAAACAGAACAAAAAGTTAAACTCTATGCTCCAAGAGACAGTACAATTATACTCCCTCACTGGTCTCACCACCCAGTAGGATGTCCTGAGCTTGCCCTATAGCCGGCCTAACCCACCGCCCTACACCCGCGCTAATGACCCACACTCTACTTTGTCAAGAGTTGCTCTAGTGTGAGCGACTGTTTAAAATAACCGAATTAAAAAACACGCTTTTGCGATTGCGAAAACAACTAATAGAACATCATAATTAAATCTAATCTCATCAACAAGATGTAGATATAATAATGCAATGTAAAAGGTTTCTTAGAGCAAACGGAACGAGCAGCAAAAGAGATGAAAACTCGATGACATTTCATCCAAATCTGGAATGGCAAATCTATTGGTTTGTTGCCGTAGTCACAACCCTCGAAGGATTTAGAGAATGTACTCAAACTCGCAGCAAAGGAAACCATTGCAAAATACCAATTGCCAGCTCGATCATCTTGCACGTAGTCTTCCTCTAAGCTTAACGAAATCGACACATCATCTTGCAGGTAATCTTGCTCTTGCACGTAGTGTTGCGCTAAGCTCAACGAAATCGACACATCATTGTATCAATCTAGAATCTTGATACAATCACTCAAGACGACCCACGATCAAACGAGACCCACTTCTGGAACACGAACAACTGTTCTTCTTTCTACAAAACAAATGCATGTCTCCTCCCTTCACGAAGTCACTGCTCCAACTACTCAAAATAAAACTATTCCGAAGATAAGAAATCTCTCCATGCGTTCTTCACTACAATGAACAATTTAAAAACTAAAACTCTAACCAATCACATTCCATAAGTAACACTGACAATTATTTTTAGTGCTGAAACCACTTGTAGTTTCAGCACCAGAGCCAATTGAATGAATCTTAGAAGACATTTGTTCTCCTCTGGACAAGTTCCATAAACCTAACCCGCAAATACCAGTATAAACTAGATCTATTGAGACTAGCAGATATAAGAGTAAGATTAAGATTGGTATTAGACTAAGAAGTTGCACGAATCTATCCGGCTAAAAATAAGATAGCGTGACGAACAGACGGTGTACCTCATCTGAAATTACTCTATGAGAAAGCTACCTCTGGCCTAAACTCATCTGGTGCGACCAAAAGTCTCGAACAAGACCTAACTAACCTAGATTTAGCAAATTAGATTTAGAAAAAAGACCAAAATTGCAAAATTGCAAAATGATAGATGGTATAGACAACTTAATAGATATGTCTCTACGTCTCAATGAATCTACTCCATTATTTCAAACCATACAACAGACACCAGTTCAAACTCACTAGCCATTTTGACATAAATTCCAGTTTCATATATACTTTCGTGATGCCTTCAGCTCCATTTTCAAAAACTGACTTCATTATGAGGGTTTGAAAAATGCCTATTTGCGCAATTTGGATTAACTATCGCACCATATGTTTTGTCCTATAAAAACGTGAGCGGCGAACTGAATAAATCCAAAAAAAAACATTTTTTTTATCGCGCGTGTGCTGATGCATACGACGAAGAAAGAAGGAAAAAATCAACATTTTCTCAAATTTTTCTTTAATTATATACTTAAAAAGTTTTTCATCTGCACGTTAACGGGCAATCACAGCAATCAGGGTTTCACCATGATATTCGTCTTGTTTCTTATTTAATTGAGGTAACTTGCATGAAGTTGGTAAAATCTTACACAAAACTTGCTTTAGTTGCTCCAAAATGGCATTTGGCTGTAGGCAACATGCTTTCATGCAAACATCACCGCGAAGAAGCTCATTTTTGTGTATCAGCTAAAATACTGCCAGAAAAATGGAAATTTACCATCGTCACACAGTTTGACTGACTCAGTTTCTATGGATTATTTTTAGTTTAAACAGTCATTTTAAACTACACTCAGTTATTTCACATTTATTACTGACCAAACTTAGCTGCCATTGATGCAACATAAATTGAATGCTTCATAATCATAAGATGGTTGATTTGAATGAATTGTTTTTTCTTAATTAAAAAATAATTTTTGAAAATTGTTTTAGAGTTTAAAATTGTTTTCAACCTATTTCTTTTTGTTCATTGCATTTCTTTACTCGATAAGCCCTTCAATGTCAAGTTCGACCAATATTGTCGTTGGCCTTGCCTGCATCTTCATTGACCTTGGGGTGTTGACCTTGACCGCCCTTGCCCTGGGGGGAGGTACCTGGATTGAAGAAGTGCGTGAACAAGGAGACTTCTTCACGCGTGCTCAGAACTCGTACCATGACATGGCCATGTTTTCCAATAACATGGATTTGACTAGTATAGGAATGTGGAGGTACTTCACACAGCCGGGAGTGTCTTTTCCGTTGCCATTTAGAGGTACACAAAAACTTTCATGACCGAATAGTGTCGTCATTGGCCCTGTTTGACACCCATTATTTCTGCACCAGCTGTAAATTTTGTGGATAAGAAAATTGAACCATTCATTTTTTCCCCAAAAACTTCAAATTAATCTATTTTTTGTAGCTTAAATTCTTATGATAGTTTCATTGTCAGGAAGAACGAATTGAAATAATTAGTTTATGATTCAATAGCGTGAAATTTTCACTAAGAAATTGACATCAAATTGAACCTACCCCTGTATTTTAAAAAAGCTTAACACTGATACTGATTTTAAAAACATTAATCAATTTATCACTTAAAATTTTTTGATCCTTAAGCCCAAAATTATTAAGGGATAAGCGAGCAAAAGCAAAAAAGAAGAAACATTGTTTCAGACCCCGAGATCCTAGCAGGAACTTTTGCCTTCATTGGGTCTCTATTGTGTGGGTGTGCTGCAGTGGTCATGTTGTCCTTCCAGATCATGGGAGTACACAGCAACTCAGCGGCACTATCACTAACCATCCTCTGGTCATTTTTCTTCCAGAGTAAGTATTTGAATATGAACTTATTTAGGTGACATGAGTACGGATAAAGTATTTGTTTTAATTTTACATATATTTCATAACACTAGCCATCTGCAAGTAAACTGCTCGGTTTGTCGAGGCTTGCATCCAAAAACTTTTACACAATTTGCTGCCAAAAATACCAAAAAAAGCAATTTCCAAATATTTAAGTGCTAAATTTAACAAAAGAAAATAGTTTAAAACTGCTCCTCTTTGCATTTGCGAAAGAAATCACCACGAAAAAGTAATTTTTTTGCTTTGGAAGTCATTTTCATCTTTTCGCGATGAAAATGGTAAAATTTTTGCAGAAGTGATTAAATTTTATACAATATTGCCATGAGCAGATCTCGGATTTTCTCAAGGAAGTCGATTATAAAAAATTTGATCGACTTTTTTATTGGTGGACCAAATTGGTTTTCTGCCCGCTCGCAGAACTATGAAATTCCTGTTTTATCAAAACTTAAAAAAAAACAGGACAAAAAAACGTTTGACGCCATCTTTTGAGGCGTTTTGACACTATTCGGACAATTTTTTGGTTCCTTATGAAAAGTGGGGAATTTCTGGGTGGCCAGGGATTAAATCCCAGAGCCGCAGGAGTGTCGGTTGTATTTGTTTCTAATTTCCAGGCAGCCTTCTGCTGGTTGGTGACTCAGTAGTGCTCTACTACTTCCAATCCACGTTCGAGTACGAATCACTTGGCCACTCCCATCACGAGGGATGGGTCGCGTTCTCCCTAAGTCTCCTCAACATCACTGCCGCCTGCTTCCGACTGTACACGGCAACACAGGCAATTCAGAGTCCTCTCGATACTATGGAGGTATGACTCGAGTTTCGCAGGTCTGCTAAGAGTTCTTCGGACTGCTATTTTTCTAGCTTTGCTTTTCTAAGTTATGATTTTCTAAACTTTGGTTTGACCCAAACTCCATGATAACCCAAAACCCATTAAAAACCAAAAATTATGGCTCTTTGTCGACCCATTTTTTTGAACTTTCTCGGCATGCCTAACTTTGGTTCATTTGGGGGGCATAGAAAGTTGAGAGCTTTATCATTAAAAAAATACAAGGCATAACGCCACACCGGGGGGAGATTGAATCGAAAAAGTCTTTAGTTTCTGCGATCAGCCCGAGTTTTCTCTGTTGTTACATATCAAACAAATCATTTCAGGTTCGTTCAGAATACATGGACGCTGCACGTGCTGTCGAATTAGCGAGAAGGAACAGTTACAACGGAGCAACTTTTAGGGTTCTCCAATCACCCCCCACAAGTGGGACCCATAACAGCAACTCAAGTAACATGGGTGCGAACTACCGATGGAGTGACATTGATTTGTTGCACCACAGGATGTCTGAGAAAAGATACTTACAGAACGCCTAAACCTGATTTTCGCATTTAAGCATCAAGTTTTATTTGCTAAGGGTTTAGCAAAGTGAGCTGCAGCAGATGGAATAACGCGCAAACATTTTTTTCAAAATGCAAATTTTGGGTAAAGGGTTCTATTTTAGATACAAATTAATTGCATAAATAATTTAAATTTTCCAGGACACGTTTAAATTCACAATGAACAGATGTCAAACTTGATGATAAGCTTTGCATCAAGTTGCTGACAGTAAATATCCAAAGCAGCAACTCTACTAAGCGACAGCCACAGGTTTTCACTACAACGACGCTGCCACCAATGTCTTGTTAATTGAAAATTTAACGATTTTACTCGCAAAAAAGCAGTTGAATTTTTTAAATGAAGAAAAACTTAAACTTTTTTATGTTAAAACAGCAACTTTTTTTTATTGATGACGGCCTCTAGCAGCAAAGTTTGTTTAGAGAACAAGCTAAAAATCAACTGGTTTTGATAACATAGAAATCAATTTCTGCTTAAAATCACCCTATCACATCATTTTGTCGCGGAAAGGGATTATAGATGTAAAGAAAAAACGTTGTCATATTTAGAAGTATAGTTAGAAGTTAATTCAGAAGTAAAGTTCGACGGAAAGCTACGATTTGAGTGGTAAATAATATTTGACAATTTGTCCACCGCATCCTCTTTCAAAAATGCAAGCAAAACAGTACCGTGATGGAAGGAACAACTTACGTCTGCTTACAGTCATGTGAATAATGATTGAGACAGCTGACAAAAATCAACAGCGATCGTGAAACGACTGTTTTGACTGGTACTTATCAAATTGAACTGTCAAAACGCGTTTTTTCAGTCGACCTAATTCTGCTGTGACCTATTCTGCTTGCAAGTTAGTGAAACATCACCTAGTTTTACATAACGATTTTGAGAGGGTCATGTACACTCCATTAAATTTGCAAATTTAGATCGCATCCAAGTCACGCCGTGGTTGCTCTATATCAGTTATTTCGAAGCAGCTTGGGATTCCCAGAGCTACTGTTGGCCCAATAGTTAAACGCTATAAAAGAAACCGTATCAGTTTATTGGAAAGTTATCCCGGGAAGACCCCCTAAATGTTTCCCCCGTTCCATTACCGGACTTTTGAGACTATCGACCTTACAAAATTGTTTGTTTTTAAAAATTCAGATGCCTTTCAGCATAGTCGTAATGAGCTACCGGCCGTAAACCACAAATAATGGTATTTAATGTTCGATCCATTCGGGTAAATTCATTTGCCCGAATGAATTTACCCGAAAACATCTCAAAAACAATAGTTTTGATTTTTTTCAGGGCCCAACTTGAGGATACACTGAAAAGTTAAAAACCAGCGTTGCAATTGATGCATAAGTTAGACATTGCAGTAATTAACTTTGATTCAGTTCCCAATTTTTTCCCTATGTATAATGTGTACTTCTGACAAAATAAATGTTTATATATTGGTATAAGACAAAAAATAGCTAAAGGACAGTTTGAAAAGTGTTATTAAATTCAATCAAAATACTCTCAAATTATAATTAGGATAGCCGGTTGCTGTGCAAGTAGCACAGAATGTTCCAACCATAGTCTTAAAAATACAAAAATCGGTTTTTTTTTCTAGAAATTAGGCACATTCGACAGCCATAAAAAACAGGCAGAGTGTAAAAAAAGAATAACAAAACGAAAAAAAATTGTAATAAAAAAAACTGAAAGAAACTTTTAAATTTTTTTTCAATTTTTTTGCATAATTTTTTGGAATTTAAAAAAAGTAAGTTTTTGATTCCTAAGTTTTTGACTCAAGTAAAACTAAACGAGGCAGAAACAAGCTATTTTAAGCCTACTCGCTAACCCTACTACCTCCAATTTGGACTAAAAACCAAAAATTTCAGACGGGTTTTTCTCAACAATGGGAGAACTTTTTCTAAAAATTTTAATGTCATTCAAGTTGCGAATGAAAAGGCTTTTTATGATACATCACTCAACCCAGTCCGATGGTTATTTTGCGTGTAAAACATCTTGTGTGGATTTTGCGTTGTTCCTGATTTTGCATGGAAAACAAAAAAAATAAAAAAAGAACCTAAGCTCACCCGAATACAAAGGTCCTCCACATTTTTGAAATGGTCGGATCAACGAGGATGGTCGATCGCTGTGAAAGTAAAAAACTAAAAATTAAATTTGTCATTTTTGGCGCTGGGCGCTATTTGAGAAATATACAAACGTGTAGCAACTTGGTAAATTAGATATAACCAATTTCATTTGCCTTCTAAAAAGTGGCAAAAAAAAGAAAAATAAATTAATTTTTTTCTAGTTTTGTTGCACTATAATTTTAATTTTCTAGAAAACTTTAATTGCCACCAAAGCGCAAAATTTTACATCCAAAATTAGTTTTTTTTCTTAGAAATTTAAATTTTTTCAGCACAAATGTCTTAGAAAAGATTTGGGAGAGTAGTTCTCAAAAAAGTCAGATTTTTTTATATAAAAAAAACAGTCAAAAAATCAAAACTTTGACTTTTCTGAGGGCCATATTTTTTGCTTTCAAAAAAATTTGGGCGTAACCGCATAAACAGAAGAGCTTCCCGAAACCCGTTCTTTGAATTGAATCCCAATTCTCAGATATAGCAGGGTTAGATAGTTTTCAAGAATACTCAAAAACTAACAAAAATTCAAAAAATCATAAATGTGACTATTCCGAGGGCCATAATTTTATGTATAAAACAGTTTAGGCGTAAATTTTTATTTAAAACAGAATATTTCCATTTGAAAAAAAAACAGGTCCAGGTCATATTTGCTAGCTTCAGGCTAAGTTGGCCGGGAACGCTTAGAGGTTCCAATTCATCATGAACGACGATTCAATAGATTCGAGTTTAACAACTTGTTAACCCAATAAAGTCTTTATTCCGGTTTGGTATCGTTTTCTAGTTGCAAGTGTAATAAACATACTCATCAGACAATTAGAAAAAAGATAACGAACGCAAGAAAAAAGACAGATTTGTTTTGTGAAAATCTCAACTTTGGACTTTAAATAGAAAAATAGATGGCCTTTAAATTTTTGAAAGACACTTTTTTCGATACAATTAATCCAATTTGAGAAAACTGGATCAATAGAAAAAACTGTTAAATCTGATAATTAAATTCTACTTTCGAAATTTGAAGCAGATTACGTTTTTGGGAACTTTACATTTTCACCATTCGAGAGTGGATTTTTCCCTTCCTTGTAACAAAGGAAATGAACTGAACTTGAAAAAGAAATCAAAAGTCAAACCGCGAAAAAGCAATTTCGGGATTTTTCTTGGAAAATGAAGCAAAAAAAATCATGGCGACGTACAATAGGGTCTGAACTACTCGACTCTTAAAAACCGAACAAAATTCAAAGTTATGACTTGAATGCACAATTCTTTTTGCTGCATTGGACGGTATTTTGGATTCTGGCCGGCTATGTATACACACAGGCGCAGCTGCACTTCGCAAACCCTTGCGAGAACACAACCAATAAGCAGCTCTATCAAGTGAAATAAAAAAAGTAAAAATAAGCCTCGAGTTATCAAAAACTCGGCTACGTGTAGGATTCGAATCTGCGAACTACTGCAATCAAGACATTATGAGTCTCACGCACTATCCACTCAAGCTTAACAAACAACACAAACGAGTCACGAAAAGGCAGCTATATATGCTAATAAATTGCCAAAGCTATTCAGCAAAAGTGTCACCAAATACATGACTCAATTTTGCATGTAAAAATTTGGAATATAACAAACTGAAGTCATCCACACTAACTTTTCAAGTAACAAATCGCAAAGCATAAACCCTTATTAGGTAAAAATTAAGCTTTTCAAGAAATGGCGAGATAGGAGTAAAAAAATTTGTGACACCGAGTTTTGATTTTTTTAATGTTGTTTGAAACAAATCACTTTTTCGGTTCATTTGATGCATTAAAAATGCATCAACTGTGTTAATTTATTACTATTCGAATTTTAAAGAAGTATACCCCACCATTATTGGGGTGCCGCATCAGTAGTTGCAACTAAGGTTGAAAAAAAAGGTTCGTACTAATACACTCTCTTCGCAAGTGTAAGACATAGCCAATCGAAGATTGGAAAAGAGTAATGAACGCAAGTAAACAAAAAACTTTCGAATTTTCAAGAAAAGAACAGATGCCCTTTACGCGCATTGAATTTCTAGAACAATTTCTGACTGGCGCTTTTTTGATAACACGAACCCATTTAGAGAAAACTGGATCAAAATGTAAAGTTTGTATTCCGCTGTAAATCTAAAAATTAAATTCCACTTTCGAAACAAGAACTCGTTCAGGTTTTTTTGCGCCATTTCCTCGTTCGCATTTGGAGACTGCTATTTAAGTCATTTTCAGCACATGAATTTCAATTGAACTCAAAAACTGCATATATACCTAACTGCATTGATAAACGCATCAATAAGTATGAATGCACATCTTTAGTTATTAGAGACTTTTCCTGAAAAGAAATTAGCAAGACCTATATAAGAGTCTTCACTACGTTCATTACTCTTAATATTAATATTTTATCGCTCAATACACGAGCATAGGTATACAAGCAAGCAAACACGACAATACATTAAATCAGGTGGCCCGTCATTAAGCAGAACTTCTATAAGCTAATCGGTAAATTAATTATCAGAAATGTCAATAATAGCAACGAACATTTTACGCATAATTTGAGCAATTTAATCAAGAATTTTTTAAAAAATTTTAATCAAAAAACTTAATGAAATTAGTCAATTCATGCATAATTTATTCGTTTTCTTGGTGTTTTTTTAATGATTCTAATAATTGTGTTATCAATTAGCCCGTATAAACCAATAAAAATTAATATTTTTGTTTTTCTGCTCTTGGACTCATTCTGCACTTGGACCATTCTGCTGATTGTTCCGCCTCCATTAAATCAGGTACTATTAAGATGTCGTACGAGTGGTATGTGAAAAATTATTACAGTGATTTTATTCGTTCCACGCTCATTCGTTTCGAATCTGGTCGAGTCGTTATTATCCATGCGACTCTAGGGCAACACAAGTAGCATGAAGCAACCGGCAGAAATATCAAATCGAAAATATTGAAGGTGTACATTTACATTTTCACTACAGGCTTCAATTTCAATACTGGATGTGTCAAATGCACAAATTTTAGAAATCCTTGATCATTTAGGGTAAAGAATACAAACTAGAATATATTTACCCTTCTGCTGATACAGCGGCATAATAAAAGTTCATGGGTAGATAAATAATATTTTAAAATAGAGTCTAAAAGAGTCCGTCAATGACTTGAGTTTTGGGGTCAATTTCTATGTCCACGAAACAAGGTCGAGTAGGCAATCCGGGCATTGTTGCGATCTAAACATTAAAACAAAGCTTTGCTATCTAAAATTGGGGTGAGAACATTCTGTGCTCTTTTATCGAAACATGCCGTTCTCGTTTGCTTCATTTTCAAGTTTTGATGTGTTTCAAAGATTCTGTTCCATAAATGGGTCAGACATCAAGAAAGTTAAAAATCTACGCTATCTCCTAAATATCTCTAGTTTCGTACATTTTTGCAAAAACGAAATACTCGAAAAGTTTTTCCTGTTTCGAGTTGACAAATGTACAGACAAATTTACAACAACTGTAGTACAATTCTACTCACCGATCCCACGAGTGGGTAGATGAATCCAGCTCCCACACTGGCCCGCATGTCCCTGATGGGGAGAATGAAGTCTGTAGGCGCTCCCTTCAGATCCGGATTATGGGAAAGAGACAAGTGAGTCTTGGCCATGCAGATCGGCAAGTTGCCCAGACCCTGTAATTACCAGCTTGGTTAGTCAATATCTATGCTCTTAAACCTCGGAAAATTGAGCGGTTCCTTTGCAGAGACATTGTAAACTGATGTTTTAGGCATTAGATAGGACTCTTTCAGTTACGATGATGTCTGCAAACTGCGCTTAAGGTTCTAGTACATAGAAGATCAAAATTTTTTACCAAAATAATCATTTAAAAAGCTGCAGATAAGTTGTGCAGTGATTTAAAAGCGTTTTCATCAAGCACAACAGCATTGCTCCTTCATCCTTCCAAATAAAAACTGTCTTCTTCATTTCAAAATACAAATTAACGATTCCAATTTTTGAGACGTTCTATTTAAACTGAACTGACCATAGACTCGTACTTCTGTGCTACTTTCTCCGCTTGCTCCGTCAGCGAGATATCTGTGGCTCCGTAGATCTTCTGAGCAATTATTCGAATTTTGTCAACCAGCGGCGTCTAAAAATAGACTAACTTGCTTTCTGTAGATCATACATGCTCTTTCAAAAACATTTTCAACTGTTAACATGCGCTGGCATGCATAAAAAACGTACTTATCTCTTTTTGTTGTCACTTGGCAACAAACCCAAAAGCTTCCCTATGAGTAATAGCATCTATCACAGAGGATTAACAAAGGGACAAATTATTCCTCGCCCAGTCTAATCATCAAATTATCATTTTCTGGTGAAAAAACGTCAACCAAAATTTAAGCTTAAAAGCGAATTATCGGACCACAGTTCTCTAACCTTGATATCATACAAGAACTTGAATGAGCTAGGCAGTTTGGATGCCTTGATGACTGCCTCTCCCAATTGCACAGCTCCCAGACCACCTTTGGAAAAATGTTCACAAATGACTGCGTCGAAGGCACCGGCAGATCTGGATAAGCGCTGGATCAGTTCCAGCTCTTCCATGGTGTCACTCCTGAAGACGATTTAAAGCAACATCTTGATCAAGAACAAAAACTGGGAACATTTTTGTCTGCAAAGACAATCAATTTTAAGTCCGAAGTATTTGTCTTTGTATACAGTAGTCCGAAAATCACTGAAGTCCAAATTTTAGGAAAAGTTCATGGTAGTTTGATATATGAATTATGGATAAAAGAAAATCAAATTTGAAAACTCACGCGAAAGTATTAATTGCCACCACGACTGGGACTCCGAAATAAGATGCATTCTGAATCTGCTTGGCCAAGTTAGAGAAACCCTTCTCAACCATCTCCAGACTCTAAAACATCATTCATTCAAGCCTATATTGAAAAAAGATTCTCAATCTTTCGAGGCACCTTGTTATACACACTTTCATCAATTACTTCCGAAACAAATCTTATTAAAAGTTCAAATATTTCTGCTTTTTCCTAATCTTGTTTTCCAATCAGATTGTGGCCGTTAATGAAAAACTATTCACCTGTTCATTGTACACACTGGGTAAATTCTGGCCCGGCGTGACCTTTGGTGCTCCTCCGTGCATCTTGAGGGCCCTTACAGAGGCCACAATTACGACCACATTCGGCTGGAGTCCGGAGTTCCTGCACTTGATGTTGAAGAACTTCTCCATGCCTATATCAGCCCCGAAGCCAGCCTCAGTCACTAGACAAACAAAACAAACTATGCTACTTGCAAAAGAGCAAATCATCCTAAACTTGCAATTCATCTTAACTTTCAATCAAACTGATCTAGCAACGAAGAGCTAATAGCTGTTTTTCCACGATGCTTATCTGTTCAGTTGATTTTACTTATGAATAAGCCAAGTTATTTCAAGTGATTACAGAATATGCATATACATTTCATGACAGATAGGTTATTTTTTCAAGCCAACGAAGTTAGGATAAAGAAATTAAACTATAACAAGCACATTATTTAATAGCTAGTAAAAAGCGAATACATCAAAATGGCATACCTACGAATCCGTCCGCTCCGACCAGTTTGAGAGCAATGCGATCTGCTACTACTGACGAGTTGCCATGTGCTATGTTTGCAAATGGTCCTGCATGCACAAACACTGGAGAGCCCTGAAAATCAGAACAATCATTCTTAGGAATGGCCACTCATTTCAAGTTAGGAAATGACATGTACACCTATAATTTACATCCTTGTTGGCCGGAGCTAGGATTTTCTAGACCGACCAAATTGATTTTTCTGAGCTCTCCCAAAGCGCTAAAATGACCCTCTGTGTTGGTCCAAATTTTGAAAGAACAGGCCAAAAAAGGCGCTTTTAGGCACTGTTTGGAAAATGTTGGGAAAAAAATGTGTTTCTTCGGCGCGCGCTCGCCCCTCAAAGCTAGTATATTTTGGCACCGAAAAGATTTAGGGTTCAATCAGCCAAAAATAGGACAAAGGGGGACCCTTTGGGTCGGCAGGGGGTCGAATCTCTGAGGGAAGAAGGCATGCCCCCTGTCCCGCACCTAAATCCGCCCCTGCTTATTGGCACAGTTTCAATCTACCACTTGACTTGATGCAAATTATTAGCGGAAAAGATGAGCGGTTTATCGAAAATTTATTCGAAACAGCAGAAACTACGCTAGAACCATCTAAGAGTACATCGATGAAAACGATCTAGTTTTTAGATTAGATAACAAAAATGGCCGGCGTTTAAACAAACATCAGAAAAACAGTTTACTTAGGACGAGCTTAGCGACCAGAACAAATACTAGAGAATGAGACTAACTTCTGGTTCCTAATCTAAATCTTTGGATATTCAGTACCCAGCAGCAACAACTAACAAAATTTGTTTATAAAATAAAATTATATTTGACCTAGTTTTCTTATACAATGCCTATAAACAGCTGAAAAAGAGTTTAGGAACTAAAGAAAAGAACAATACCGATTGTTTTTGAAAACAGGCAATTTAATTATTCGGCTGTGAAGTCTCGGAATACAGGAGCTCTACAACGTCACAAAAAATACTGCGCGAACGTGGTAGAAGGCCAGAGTCAAATGGTAAAGACAAATGAGTGGTGCTCCAGAGTTTCATGTTCAGATCCGGCAGTAGCAGATTTTTGAAATACTATGAATTTAATCTTAATAGTTCAAAAATCTGCTACTGCCGGCTTCGAACATGAAACTCCGGAGCAACACACTGCCGTAATCAAACCGCCGACCTGTGGGTCAAAAGTCTCACGTCCTCTCATTTGCGCCACAATAGTTTGGAAATAGGCATACTAGCTAATAAAGAGAGAACAGATGCTATTGAATTATGTAGGCAGCAAAAGTTCCACCAAAAAGCCCTTCATTAACGACTTGGATTGAAAAAGTGAACTTCGTTATATGACACTACGCTCTCTAGTGTACTTGGTATTGATTCAAGCTGTCAGTGACAATGCCGAAAACATTGAAACAATCTACGCTTTTCGCTTTCAAACAACAGCGCGAGGAGTGGATCCGGTGAGGTCGACAATGAAAAAATTTTGTTTATTTTCTATCTGCAGGCTAAACAATAAAAGCGACAAAACAATACTTGAAATTGAAAAAGGCAATACCAACAGACAATTCGAAAAAAAAGGAATTCAAGGAAACCAAGAAAATGACTGACACCATAAGTTACTTGAACTTTGAGAAAAATTTATGATCAATTCTTTTTTTAATAAAAACCACCCAAAATAAGAAAAGGATAGCAAGTTGCTTTTTTCTTCATTTTAGTGTCAATTGTTGTGCGTGGTGTGATGAAAGAACTATAAAAACGCGTAGAAAGTTAGTGAATTAGGCATAATCGACAACAGATGTCTTCAAAAATGAAACAGCCAACAGACAGTTGGAAAAGACTCATGAACACAAGGAAACAGGAACAAATTTTATTTTTAAAAGAAAAAAATATATGGCCTTAAAGCTCTTTGAACTTTAAGAACAATTAATGATTGACATTTTCTTTCTAAAACCAACTCAATTTGAGATGATTGGATCAAAAGGTAAAAAAATTATTCCGATGGGAAATCTGAAAATTTAAACACACTTTTGAAACTAGAAGTTGATCAGGTTTTCGTGACCTTGTTTTTTTGCTCTTCGATAGTGGAGTTTGCCTTTCTTTCAACAAAGGAAATGAAATGAACTTGAAGAAATCAGGAGTCAAGCCGCGAAAAATCAAATTTTAGCGTAACGAACTTTAAGACTTTTCCTAAAAAATCATCAAAGCCTAAAAGAGTATTCACTACGTTCATGACAGACAAAAAAAATGAAAAAAAAAATTTAAAAAATGTCAACATTTTTCCTTTTTTTTGCAGAATAATTTTTAACTTTTCTTTGAGAAAACTTTTTGCCAAAGAAGTGGTGAATTGAGCTTCCAAACTCGTTCTCTTTTTAGTAAAATCAAGTTTTCTTAGCCTAAATGACCAATTTTCATATACCGAATGGAATGTTACTCGATCGTGTTACTCGCTCGAAATTAGACTAAATTAAAAAATTGAAACCAGGTGATTTTCAAAAACTTCAAAGCATTGATGTTGCGTGGAAAACAAAAACTCTTAAACACACCCGAATACAAATTTTCTCTCCATTTTCAATGGTTGGAACAAAAACGGGAGCAATAGGCGTTTTTTATCCCACTGTGATTTCCAAAAGGTAAAATCCCCAATTGAAACTGAAGTCAAACTCCCATTTTCATCAATTTCTATTTTTGTTATTGGAACGCGTAATTGGCTTTCCGTTTAGCAAAATGAATTTGAAGTTGAAAAAATCAGAAGTCAATCCTTGCCGTGAACAATTACAAAACTTTTTCCTGAAAAGCTACACGACCTAAGTAATAGAAAACTCATTTCGTTCATTACCATTTAGAAGCTTAACATTTTGATTCAATAATAGCGATCGGCTATTTCTTGATAATAATGGCTAGTTTGAATAAAAACCATAATTACTTCAACAGTTTGCATGAGCGTCGGTTGCACTGTATCCTTCATCAACACAGTCAGTGCATCCACCACCCCCAAATCATCCGCGCTCACTGGTCCTCCCTCTGTATCCTGACCAATCACAATGCGGCCTATCCTTTGCTGCATGTCCTCCAAATCAGAGGAGAGGGCCAGGATAGCCATCAGTTCACTAGCCACTGCTATGTCGTACTGAGTCTACAAATCTCAGAAAACAGTCATTACAACTAATAGTGCCAAAAACATTACTAAGATCGATTCTTGAGGTAGATATCGCATTGAATAAGGCGCGGAGATTCACTCACTACAGTTTGCTAAAATCTTAGATGCTGCATTTTTTAACATCTCTGAATCAGATTTTTTTCTGAAGTACTACATTTAAGTCATTAGGAACTGAATTAAAATACAGCTATTTTCGCGTCATTTCTCGACAAGCGGAATATTTTTCTAACTTCCTTGCCATTCGGAAAAAACTTCAACGGTTAAACTATTTTTATTTCGTATGCCCCCAAATGCTTTCAAAGGTCAAGTCAAGGAAAATTAAGAAATCGTACAACAGCGTTCAAAAAGCAAAATTCCAACGACTCAAATGTGAGTGGCTAAAAATCAAATTTGAGTTTATTGGGAACCTTTCTGGACTCACCGTTCTCGTGTGTCCATTCTCCAAATCCCCTTGGCCAATGGTGATCTTGCGCAAATGTCTGTCATTCGTGTCCACAACTAAAATCCACAATATAGCTGTTTTCAAAATTATTGATTACATCAAGCAAACAATCCTTGCCGCCTTATCTGCTGTGTTGCATTCAACTGTCAGACCTTTAGACTTTTTGTGGTTTCCAAATTACAATTCTATAAGATGTGTTCATTTTCATCTCAAAAATATTCCTTGTGTACAATTTGGTGCTCAAAAAGTCTAGCCAGGACCCAGAATCAATTTATGTCTGAACCCAATTGAGATATTCTCACCTCTTTGCCAAGTGATTGTATCAGGGTCTATGTTGAGTCGAGAGAATTTAACCCTTTCCTCATCTGTAAGTTCAGCTGGATTCGTCTTCGAAATTTCCAGTCTCTGAAAAATCAGAACTATTGTGCTGCCAAAAGCAGCCGAAATGACAGCAAATATGGATGAGCTAAGTAGTCTTCAAAAATAGAGATAAATGAAAACAGTTAAACGCATGTAAATCACATAAAGGGAAAAAGTTTGCCGCAGTATATATCTTCGCTATTTGAGAAAACAAATTAAGTCAATAACCTAAATTGACGTTTTTTTTCTAATCAATTTACAGATTCTTGTTGTTACACATAGAGCTGACCTTTAGTCTCCGCAGCTGACTCTTTGAGAACTTCTTTTGGCCTTTGATCTCCGGCACCAGCCTTCCATACAACGCATTGTCCGCTTGATTCCTCTCGTGGAGCATTCTCGCGTCAATAGCTGCAGCGAGTAAATTGTTTGCCGCAGTTATTGCGTGAATATCCCCTGTTAAATGCAGATTGAACTCTTCCATTGGGATAACTTGGGAGTATCCCCCTCCCGCCGCTCCGCCTTTGATGCCGAACGTCACTCCCTGACTCGGCTGTCGGAGACATGCGAAGGTGTTGCGGCCTAGATGCGCACACAGACCCTGCGCAAGACCGATAGAAGTTGTGCTTTTTCCCTCGCCGAGAGGAGTTGGCGTGATGCCTGTGACGACAACATAGCTCCCGCTGACCGACGCTGCCAGTCGCTTCTCGACGTCCAGAGACACCTTGGCCTTGTACTTTCCATAGAGACTGTACTCGGAGGGCAGAAGTCCGATGTCTTCGGCCAGACGGGCAATCGGCTTGGGGGTCTGAGATCGGGAGACTTGGATGTCACTAGTGTAGAGAGATATCTCGGTCTGAGCAGGCACAACACACAAACAAACTCAATCTGATTCGGACTACGATAGATCGATGTGCATTCCAGTAAAATATATTTTCAAACCAAACCAAGGGTGAAAACAGTAGATGAGTTACTCGCACGAGTGTTGGTTCATCGATTTTTTCTGGATGGTCGCGTTTAAGGGTTTTGTGAGAGCATATGATTTCATAATCAAAAAATTTCGACAAAACTAACTATTTGAAGCAAAAAAAAATATAGGGGTACTTTTACAAATGGGTACTTTAAGGTTACCGGAAAGACACACTTTAACTACCCCGAGTTCATTTATTGTCTTGCATCATTTGATTGACAATCCAGTCTTAAAACCGAGTGTTTGAAACGTTTTGCAGTTTTCTTGTATTATGAGAGCATTGTAGAGTACACTTTATGGAGACACAATTCAGAAACTGAGAAACACAGAAGTTGAACACAAAAACATACGATGCTTACCTAGGCACGGGAGTCTTCACTTCCACAGGGATTGAAGTCTCCTTCCAGCTTCGCATCTGAACAATAAATGAACTAAAGACAGTTTACAGTCTTATCTGACAACAGATCTAATTTTTGTTTTAAGTGGTTCTGGATTTTAAGCAGATCAACAGATCACTTAAAAATGTTTTTAAAAACTCAGTTTCTTTGAGACACCATTGAAAAGCTATAGTATTAGCCACATATCACGAGATTACAGCTATCTCAGCAATTTTGGAAACCAAATCACCTTCAATTACATTATTCAATCGAATGAATCAGTCGAAGTAAGATTCGAATTCTGAGAGATAGTATTTGACCAATTCTCAGAAGTTAAAAAACAAGTTCGAAATTAACCAATCTTAAGAAGTTACAGAACAATATCAAAATTAACCAATCCTACACTATTACACAAAATCAAAAGTAACCAATCCTAAGAAATTGCAGCAAAATTTCAAAGATGACCAATCCTATGCATTTACAGAACAAAATCAAAAAGTAACCAATCCAAAGAAGTGACAGAACAAGTTCAAAATTAACCGACCCTAAATTACAGAACAAAATCAAAACTAACCAATTCTTAGAAGTTACAGAACATAATCAAAACTAACCAATCCTGAAAAGTTACGGAACAAGTTCAACTTTAACCAATCCTAGGAAATTACAGAACAAGTTCAACATTGCCCAATCCTAGGAAGTTACACAACAATATCCAAACTAACTATTCTAGGCTACAAAACACGTTCAAAATTAATCAATCCTAAGAGCTTACAGAACATGTTCAAAAGTAATTTAGTTCCAACAAGACGTCCAGAAACAAGGAATGTTTCCCGCGTCACTAAACAATTCATAAAAGAACCCTTATCATAAAACAATACGTATCACTAACCGAAGCAGAAGTGCTGATGTTGTAAAACCTCTTCGCACTTTCGAAAGTGTTCCTCATGAGCATTACTACAGTCATCGGGCCCACTCCCCCGGGCACAGGAGTGATGAAGGAGGCCTTCTCCGCACATGACTCATAGTCTACGTCACCTACCAGTCGGTATCCCTTCACAGTAGTAGAGTCAGGCACTAAAAAGTGACATCAGCGAGCAACTGCGATTAAAAATATTGAAACGAAACAATTTTCATTGGAGCTGTCATACGGTAAGATATGCAAATAATAATATAACTAGAATCCGAACGAACTGGTACACCAAAGAACTTCCAGATGGTATGAATCATTTTTGAGTTTACTGATCTGGTCTGCCCGTTTTCGGTTTTCTGATAGATCGATTTATTGACCTATCAGCAAATTTTTAGATGCCCTTAACAAGCCAAAAGCCGTTTTCCCATCAAAACTCCCGAGAAAGCGCTTTCGCAGGGGAGATCATTTTGATTGATTCTCCAATTTCAGAAATGGCACGTTCGATTTTGTGAAATATGGTCAATAAAAATAGTGGCACCAATATTTGCGACTTAGGTTGGAAAAAAAAGAAGGTTCGTAAGAATACACTCGCTTCGCAAGTGTAAATTACGTTCGCATCACGACTGAAAGGGCTTCAATCACTCAACTCAGTCCAATGATTTCGCGTGGAAAACAAAAACATAGCCAACAGACAGTTGGAAAAGAGTCAATGAACGCAAGTAAACAGAAAAAAAATTGACTTACTATTTGAAAAACCGTAAGTCAAACCAAACCGCGAAGTAAACTTTAACCTGAATTACTTTTCTTTAAAAAATGAAAAACAACACCAGCACCTATATAAGAGTCTGAACTACTCTCATTGATTCTCAACAAGAAAAACCGCTAAAAAACACCCGAATACAAAGTTCCTCCCAATTTTCAATGGTCGCAGCAAAAAGAAAATCAGTGTGAGCTATATTAGCTTCCCAACTACTTTTAATGACACTGATCTATCAAGTATCCCCCCACCTGAATTAATGCCACAGTCAATCACCACAGCCCCTTCTTTGATCCACTCTCCCTTCAACATCTGAGGAGATCCGATGGCTATCACCACTATGTCACTCTGCTTCACGATCTTGTCCAAATCTTGTGTCTTGGAGTGACACATTGTGACTGTAGCGTGGTTCCACTTGAGCAGGTCGGCCATGGGAGAACCGACAATTTTGCTTCTGCCGATGACACAGGCCGACTTCCCACTAATCGAGATGCCTTAATTAAACAAATATCAACAAAGAAGGCACTGCTTACTCGGACATCATCACCAATTCAGGGGTCTCTAATGAATGAAGGCATCAGAAAAAGTTCATCTTGATTCTATTGGAGAATATTTTTGGGGAAAACAGGATATCACCGTTGGTTGTTCAACGATTATCTCCGTTGTCGTCAATGATCGAGGGCTAGAACACATTTTCGCAGCCAAGAAAAATATTTGAAAATGCATATATGTATTAATCGGGTGCACGACGTTAAGTGTTGAAAGCTGGGCTCATGTGAACAACCTCGCCCCTATATTAAATGGCAAATTCAAGCCGTGAAACCTGCATGTACTATGCTCAAATCTAGTTGGCTGAAAAAAGGATTTTTAACGAAGTGAACAATGACCCCCTAAATTGATTTAGAAGGGAGACTGATCACTTGGTCCAATAGCTGGTATAGTGAATCAATCATATCAGCTTCACTTCAATAATATCAAGCTCACTGAATATTATACCCGATGACTTGATGAGCTCTAGGCAACCTTGGGGTGTACAAGGAATAAAAGAGGATGAAAGGTCTCCTTGGGCTAATTTTCCTGCATTCAACGGGTGCAATCTAAACACAGAAAAATAGAGACTACAGACTACTTGTCATATTTTGATTACTTTTATACTTAATTAAGTTACAGTGCTGAAGTATATACTTTATGCATAATTTTTTCTGCATTTTAACGTGCCTTTCACACATCCCCTCCATTGTTGTACTAGTGTGCAAATTGGATAGAAAAAACTCTGATTAACTTACATAACACTTTTTTTTGTACAATCGGAAAAATAAATTCTTTTTCTTTCTTTCTCTTTTTTCGGAAAAAGTTGCCTGTGTGTTCTTAAAATGAGATTTTTCAAAACTGAATCACCTACCCGTCTACATCTTTGGCAGCATCTACATGCGTGGTGCACTTCAGAGAATCTACATGGTTCAAACAGTCTAGTGGCAACTGAAACAGAAGTTCCCTTCAAAAGCTAAATCGATATATTCAAGTAATCCACTCAGAGAATGTGTAACTCAAGAACAACACAGCTCAAAAACTATTGTGGGAGGGGGTCATTATAACTTAAACGGACAAAAAATTGAGTCCATGAAAATAAAGACAAATCATGAGTTTAGTCTAACAGACTTCCAAACCACTTCTCGGGATACATGAAAACGCAGGATTTTATCATAGCTCGCAACAAGCATAACAGCACAAATACCTAAGTTGACCATTAGAAAAGAAATAATTATCATCATCTAAATTTCCTGTAGCTGCAACACAAGATTGGACTCCTTACTCACAGTGAAATTCTGTTGAAAGTAGAAAATAAAACTATTTCATCCACTACGATTGCTCCTAACTTGCAAAATTGGTCATGAATAAGGTAATGATAAAATCAACTCCATCATCTCAACTTATAGTTCACCTTCTTTTCCTACCTTTAACGCGTACAGATCAAGCAGCGAGTTTGCAAAAATAATCGACAAAATATTCATCAAATATGCCAAAATTGATACGGGAACATCTATCAATATTTCATCTGTATCAAACTTTATATTACCAAGCATTAGCTAGGCAATAATCAATATTGCATTTCGTGAAAAGACCAAGCGGAAAAGCGGAAAAATACCAAGCGGAAAAAAGCTAGAAAATGGTTCAAATTATTAGCGCATTTTATTAGCGCCAAAATTATGAGTTTTACTAATATATTATAAAAACTTTGACGTGTATTCGAATAATACCGATAAGTTATACCGATGACGTGAAACATTCCTGATTCTAGTTGATGGTAATAACTGCAGGTAATTTTAGAGAAATGTTTATTGGTTTAGGATTATTTCAACCGCTGCCACCGAAGTACAATTACAGTGATCAATGAACATTACCTGCACAATGATGCCATGTATGCTGTTGTCCTCATTCAGTTTCTCAATTGTTGCCAGGATCTCTGATTCAGTACAAGAGGCAGCCAACTTCACATGTTCGGCCTTGAACCCCAGCTCATTGGCTACCTTCATCTTGTGACCCACGTACACATTCGAGTCACTTCTGTCGCCGATCTGCAAATATAATAAGGATCAATGAAAATTCATAAGGATGAAATTTTCAAGTTTCCCCGTAATGCGGGAATTCGTTGTTGTTCCGACCACTCAAAGTGGGCAGGAACTTTGTTTTCAGGTGTGTTTTAGTTTTTTTTTTCATTTTTTTTTGTTTTCCACGCAAAATGAGGTACCACAAATAATCAACGGAATAATTCGAGTGATATATCATATTAATTTCAGGTCGTGATTCGAACGAAATTCAAAAAAAAACTTTCAACAAGTTGTCCCAGTGTCGAGAAAAACGTATTTCAAATTTGTCAAATTTCGAGCGAGTAAAGCGATCGAGTAACGCTCGTTATATATGAAAATTAGCAGTGTAGGCTTGAGTTTATTATAAAAAAATTGATTTTACTGAAAAAAGTTTCGGTTGCTTCATTTAGCACTTCTCTGGTAAAGAAACTTTCAAAAAATATTTAACTTCTCCATCTACTTTTCTCAATTAATTTAATAAAATATTAGAGTGAGTTTCTGGTTCTCAAGAGTTCATAACTGATAATAATGAAGTTACGAATATTTAAAAAAAACAGACTTGGAACTAAAATACCTAGGCTTTAGCGGCAGTATAGAAGTAAAACAAACCTGCACAACGGCCAAACCCGGCTTGAAAGCTGTGTTGGCCCTTCTGGCTGCATCTACTTCCACGAGTAAGGCCTCTTTCAGAGATCTGGAAAAAGAAGAGATTTCATTAAGGTTTTCAATTTAACACCACACTCAACCCCATTAAACGTTTCGTTGGAAAACCGAGTGAACCAAAGACACATCTCGAATCCTTAATTCTAATTAATGAGTGACCGGAACGGAACATAAACAGTTTCAAGAACAAAGTTATGTTACCTCGTAGCTCTTTAAATTTCACGAAATATTAAAGTTGTCAATTTTTCAATATGCCTAAGACCATTTAGGAAAACGGGATCAATGGTGCTACTTCATTCCGAATTTTTTTGCGATACAAACAAAGAGCAGCAATGCAAGCTAGCGAATAAAAAAAAGGGGGAAAATACAATTGACAACAGAGGAGAAACTGAGCTTTGCACCACTTGCGATTAAAACAGAAAAACACTAAAGAACTATCAAAGAGGACTTCGGAAGTTGCAACCGTAGAAGAAACAACTGGAAACAAAAAGAATGAAAATAATTTTTTTATGATTAATCGTACTAAAAAACTTTAAAGAGTTCCAATTCGGGTTAAAATGGAGGATTTAAAAAATTATATATAGGACCGAAACTTTAATGATTAGGTGAAGGTAAATAAGACGGTAGAATTAAATCCGACAGCCTATTAGCTGAAAATCAACCAAAATTGTTCGGCAAAATCCTATTGGAAAAGACACATGTATTGCCAAAATATTATCCCCAAAAACCATATAGGTACCGAAATCAAGGTGGTATACAATTCGGAAACTAAAACGAAGGCAAAATCGAAAGCCGCAAAAAAAATATCAGCAAAAAAGTAATATCGATGTTTTATAACTATCAAAATGAATGAAGATACTTTTGAGGAAAACATGTGGAAACAAAAAAAATGCAAAATTGGCATCGGATCAAAACTTACCAAGCGGTAACAAAACAGAAAAAACCTCAGCACAAGCCCTTAACAAAAAATATGAGTTTACCCTTCCCCTCGTAAACTCGAAAAAAGAAGTTGAAAATAACAACGAAATTTTAGTAAATAGAGTTGGTAAAATTACAACCGATGTAGAAAAAAAATTTCGAATCGGTTGGATTTTTAAAATGCGAAGACAAACAACTGTAGCGAAATTTGTTGGCACCAAAAATAAACGATTCTTAGATCTGGCGACTAAGCCGACAAAACGTAAGCAGACAATAGGTCGCAATTTTTTGAACACGAATTTTTACCGTTTGAAAAGACAGGTTCTTATCAGGTTCAAAACCAGAATCTTTGCCTTCCCAGTCATATTCGTTACCTCAAGGCCAAGTGTGCAGGAGACGTAATTAAAAAAAATTGAATTCGTTATGAGCCAAGGCTTCACCAGGAGTTGATGAGTCCTATAAACAAAGTTGTTTACGGAAAAAGTAGTATCCGATTGCAATCCGTTGCTTATTGCAAAGGTAAAAACCTGAAAAATACTTTCAGTTTCAGAAAAACAGCTGAGAAACAACCACCAGCATAAAAAGGGCTTCCAGTATTTACCGAGCGGTCACTAAGCCAACAACACGTGAGTAGACGCCCATTGAGCCAAAATCCAAACACTGCCATACGAAACTGTTGTCAAAAAAATTCGTTAATTATAGTAAGAACTGTTTAGATCAGACATGAATTCTATGCTTTGGAAATTAATCCTACTAACGCAAGTGGACAAATTAAAATACGACAAATCAATTGTTCCTGAATAAAAATCAATTTCATAGATACTAAAAAAAGATCTGACTTGGACTCCAACCTAAGACCTCTGGGTGCAAAAGCAACCACGTTATCTCAAGACCAATTAAGAATGAACCTGGAAGCTTTAACCATTCTAATAAAAGCAATTTCAACTTTCGACAATAGAAAAAAATTAATTTACAAAAAAAAAGATAAATCAAAATACTTCTTAAAATTAAGTTCAAAATTTTACACTGGGGTACAATGAATAAGTAAACACATAATTTCAAAGAGCAAAGGATTGAGCAGCCGTGAACATGTGGGGTAAGGTACGCGTCTCTCAACACGATGGTCGTGCATTCGAATCCCACTTCGGTCACTACTGGAGGGGTCCCAAAGTCATCCGTCTCCTCAAGGTGGGACTGGCTGCGGCGAACTGGATGACATCACCCTCTCCCACGGTTGGTCCTGCATTGGGCTGGACCGGGGCTAATAAAAAGAGCGAAGGAAAAAAATTTCCGCAAAAAAAAAGTTTAAATATATATTTAACCTTTTTTTGACCCCGGACCAAGTCACTTTTTTGCCAAGCCAGTCTCATTTTTCCACGGTAAAAAGAGTATGCCAACTTAATCAGTGTCGCAAAGAACCAATTTGAGCCGACATATTCAGATTTCTTATGTTGTTTGAGAGGATGTTTCCGCATCAAGAACACGTCCGAAACTACTTAGAATAGACTAGCTGTTTTCGACTTCAATGCAAGAATTCTCGAATTTCGACCAGGCTGAGACCTTTTAAGTAGTTTCATTTTATATGCGTTAAAACTTAAACCCTAAACGTTGATTAGTTGCAGCGAAAAAGACAAAACGGAAAGTAAAAATATTTCATTCCTTTGCTCGTTGAAATGTGTCTACTTATTCATTGTAGCCCAGTGTACTTGAAAAAAGTAAATAAACCGACTTTAACAAAAATGTCATACGTTTATCTCGAATAATGTTCATTAAAACTTTAAATATTTTTGCAATCAATTAACATTTAACGAAAGTCAACTAAACCGAAAAAACTTTGGTTCGCTCCTGTTAAAACCGAAACCAAAAAAAAATTGTCACAGCAGAAGTTTGAGCTCTCAAATTTTGAAACTTAAATTTCGTCAGAGCCTATCCCTCTTGAAGACACACAATAGCGTGAGAGCCTTTCCTTTCCGAAGACCGCTATAAACCATTCAATAACCAAAAACCAACGTAAATTTTTATCAGATACTTGCAAATTACGACAACCTTCAATTATAGCAAAAACTGTTTAAATCAGAAAAAAACCCATCCTCTCGAAAGCAAGCCGATAACAAACCGTAGCAGATACCATAAATGCCTTTGAAAAAAAAAACGGACAGTTCACCGAAAAAAAATAGCCTAAAACCACGAATCCGAAAAAAAACATGAACATTTTTTCGATAAGTTAAGATTAAAAAATAAGTACTACCTAAAACGGACTCAAAAGTTATAATTGAACCTTGAAGAAAATGAACATGTCAGCCTGCATGTGAAGGTAACTGCAAGTATTTTTAATAGATTTGTCAGACGAGTTGTTTACAGGGAAAAAGCCGAGTTAACGATTACATGACACTTGCTCTCGTAAGTGTAATAAATTGAAAAACCAATTTTGAAGTTAAAAGTTATGTACAACTGTGCCTCCATTTCTACCATCACTTCTCATGAACTAAATATTTAACTTAGAATTCACAAGTCACGAGGAGTTGAAAAAACTCAATTCAGATTTCTTCACTTCAAATTTTTAAAGTCATTGATAAAACATAAGTAGTCACGAGCTGTGCAAAAAGCATTGAAATTTCCGACAACTAATCATTTTGAAAAACTTTAGAAAAACAATTATTTTCAGTTTTTAGATTCTTTGCGTTTCTTTGCAATGCGAGAACCCATTTCAAAATAAAAAAGTTAGCAATCCTGTGTTTTCCACATAGAATTGGGTACGACTAAGACGTTCGACAGGGTCGAATGGTGTAACACATTGAAAGCGTTTCAGCTTTCATTTCAGTTATATTTCAAAAATTAAGTAAGAATTATCTCGAAAAGTAATAATACTAGCGTTTAACGCACCTCCAGTGCTTCGAATTTTTTAAACTTTTAAATACATTTTGAAAAACGTCATCTTGATAAAAGCGTCACCTCGAAAATCTAATGGGCCTCTGGAGAAATTTGGAGGCCAGATTTGCAACCACTGAGAGCACCCTACTAAACGGTTTGGAAATTCGAACTTCACGGTTGGGAGAACCTGAGAGCACCCTACTATACGGCTGGGACTTTGCCAGATTTGAGACGCCAAGGTATACGCTGACAATAAGGTTGTGTCTTCATCAAGTTAGTAGTTTCAAATTTTGCGAATTTCTTTGTAGATAATTTCTTGAAGAAATTTTAAAGAAAAATCAAAAAAACGTCAAATCTCGAAAACTAAAACTATTTGAACAATCATTTTTGGATGCAAGATTTGCAACACCTTAGAGTAGCCTGATAGCACCAAACTACAGGGTTGAGAATTTCAAATTTTGAAACAATGAACTTAGGTTTTCAGAAAATTTTGAAAAAAATCAAAAAAAAAACGTCACATCTCGAAAACTACAAAGAATTGAGCAGTCATATTTGGGGGCAAGATTCGCAATCCTTGAGAGTACTCTAACAGAACCCAACTACAATGTTGGGAATTTCAGATTTTGCGAAAAAATATATTATAAATTTTCAGAAATTTTTTTTGAAAAAATCTTAAAAAACGTCATATCTCGAAAACTACAAGGATTTGCAACTCCCTGGAGTACCCTGACAGCACCCAACTACCGGGTTGTGAATTTCAAATTTTGAAAAATAATTAATTTAAGTTATCTGAAAATTTTTGAAAAAATCACAAAAAACGTCATATCTCGAAAACTACAAGGATTTGACCAGTCATAATTGGAGGCAAGATTCGCAATCCTTAATAGTACTCTGACAGTACCCAACTACAGAATTGGGAACTTCAAGTTTTTTTAAATTATATTGTAATTTGAGTTTTCGGAAAATTTATGAAAAAATCATCAAAATCGTCTTATCTCGTAAACTCGGAGGCCAAATTCGAACCCCTTGGTGAATCCGGACAGCATCCCAATATTGGGCTGCTTATTTTAAACCCGGCGAATTAACCACTAAAATCAGACTGGAAAATCAAAAGAAAAAATTCTCAACCATTGAATATACGATATAGCTTAAACGTGCCAAAATTCTTTCGTTCAACTTGCAAAAATAATACGTTGAAAAAGCTTAAACATGGCGAGATAGTGAAGCCCGCATTTAAAAAAATAAAAGATTTTTTACTTCTCAAATTGTTTTACAGTTTTATTTTTTGCGGCCGCAAATCTGTCGAAAACGTTGGTAATAAGGCTAGTTGATTATTTTCTTATAAAACAAGCTGGCAATTGCTAGTTCTGGATGCTTTACTAAGAAATACCGGTCCGCAAAAAAGTTCAAGAAATAGCTGGTTTTAATTTCCTTTTCTGCAAAAATACCTGCTGTATGAATTTTGTGCGCTATTTGCGCAAACAAATCGAAAACCAGTAAAACTATTTTCTTTCCAAAATCTTCAAGAATTCGAATTTTTTGCGGATCGCGATTTCTAAGTATAGTACCAAGAACTAAAAACTGTCAGCATAATCAAGTGCAAAATAATGAACTTAACTTTTTACTGACGTATTTGACAAAATGTGAGCCTTAAATAAAAAAACTGTTCAAAAAGCACACATAGTCAACAGACAGTTCGAAAAGAGTCAATGAACGCAAGTAAACAGAACAAAAATACTGACTTGTTTTTTGAAAAAAAAAATCACAACTTTCAAATTTCAACGAAAAAAATAGTTGTGCTTAAAGCTTTTTGAATTTCTAGAACAATTTATGATTCGTGCTTTTTTGATAAATTTAACGCAACTTGAGAAAACTAGGTCAAAAGTAAAAGTTTTCGAAAACTACAAAGAATTGAGCAGTCATATTTGGAGGCAAGTTTCGCAATCCTTGAGAGTACTCTGACAGAACTCAACTACAGGGTTGGGAATTTCAGATTTTGCGAAAAAAATTAAGGTAAATTTTCCCTAAATGCACCCCTGCTCTAGCGTATAAGTAGTCTAACTAAACATACCATCTCAGCAAAAAAAAAAATCAGAGTACTTTTTCCCGTCACTTTGTTTGAAATAATTTTCGCGATTCACATTACGACTGAAATCCTTACACCTTTTAAAGCAATTTTTAAATTCTCACTTGGCCAACTTCGTTCCACTTAACACGGCTCCCACTGACATCTCAAATCTGAAAACAGCTCTTCAGTCAAGTTCAAGGTGTAACGGCGCTTTTTTCGGTGTAATACTACAGGGATGTGTCAAAAACTAGAACATACAAAGAGCAAATGACCTATTTCAGACAGAAATACAAAATGTAATAAGGTCGTCTGAAAATTGATATTTGCTAGCAAAAAATGCTCAAAATTGGCAGATTGCTGTTTTTGATTAACTCAATGAAGATTGATACGTTTCGAGGTCTAAAACAGACAAACGGTGAGATAATTGAACCTCAAGAGGACGAAAGTGTGAAATAAAGTCCAATTTTATTAAGTAAATCTGTATAGTTCAAACAAATCCGTACTATATTTACAAACCGGGGGACATAAAGGCGTGAAGTGAAGTTCATATCTCTTACATGTATTTGGAAGAAACTCTATCAAAATCAGTAATTAAAAAAAATTTTGGATCAAGTGAACAATCTCCCCCAGAAAAAGTCGCTTTATAAGCCTCAATTTTATTGATTCTTTTTTTTTCACTCTGAATGTAATTTTTGAGCTTCGATATGGTAAATTTTGCCGTTCCACTATCGTTGGAGAATCTGATTTATGATTTCATATAATTCAAACTATTTTGAAGTGGTTATAAACATGTCTCAAGTACCTATTGAGCTATCACCCCCCCCCCCCCCCCTCCACGCTAGAACGGAAATCTTCGACTTATTGTTCCGACCACTATAAAAATGGGGAGGAAATTTGTACGCGGGAGTATTTTAGTTTTTTCTTGTTTTTTGTTTTCCGCGCAAAATCAGGTACCACACATAATCATTGGATTGGGTCGAGTGATCTGTCATTCTAAAGCCTTTTCAGTCGTGATTCGACGGACTATAAAAAATTTCGAAAATTTTTTCTCAGCGTCGAGAAAAACGCGTTTGAAATTTTCAATTTTTGGGTCTAATTTCGAGCGAAAAAAGCGAGCGAGCAGGTTTATTTTGCTTCATTTTATTCAAGTACAGTTTTTGCAATTTTTTTACCGCCAGTTCGGGAATCAAAAAATTCTAAAAACTCATCAAACAATTTAAAATTTCTAATATATTAATTTTTTTTTCCAAGTCGTTTTCTTAAAAAAACAATTGTCCAATTCGCTTATTTTACTATTGGTGTCGAATATGCCTAAGCTCTAGTTTCTCGGTCAGATCCTTTTATCACAATACGCAGAAAAACGACAATATTATGAAAAAAAAAACGGTTTTTTTTGTATGTCTTAAGACTATGGTCGGAACATTCTGTGCTACTGCACAGTAATCGGCTATCCTTTCATTTATGCTTTATGTCACCTTAACCGTCCATTTTTTAGATGAGATTAGAAATTAGCAATCGGTTGGCGCTTGAGCCAACACAGAGTCAATGTCGTCAGGGCAGTGTCTTTCGGGACACTTTTCATATGCCTCTCCCCATGGTCTGTTCACAATATAACCCCTAGTAACCCCCTTCCTCTCTTTCATCTCCTTAGCCCACCTCTGAAGATTAATATAGCTCTCCGCGTCTACAAATTTAGCCGCATTAGGATACAATCTATCCAGGACAAGGTTCCCATAATAAGTCCACGCGGCGATATCCGCAATTGTAAACTCATCACCAGCTATGAATTTATTCTTCTCCAGCTGTTTGTCTAAAACGTCCATTTGTCGTTTTATTTCCATGGTAAACCGATTCAAGCAGTATTTCATTTTTTCAGGCGCGTACTTCCAGAAATGTCCGAAACCTCCTCCTAAGAGTGGGGTAGCACCATGAGCCCAAAACAACCAGTTTAAAGTTTCAGTTCGCTTAGCTGGCTCTGTTGGGATAAATCGACCATATTTTTCAGCAAGGTAGAGCAAAATATGACCAGACTCGAAAACACGCTGTGGCGGAGTAACGGATTGATCGAGAATACAAGGAATTTTTCCATTAGGGTTCACAGCTGTGAAGCCTGAAGTAAACTGATCCCCTTGGCCTATATTGATCAGATGCGAATCATACTCCGCTTCTTTCACACCGGCATCTAGTAACTCTTCCAGCATTATATTAACTTTCTGCCCATTGGGCGTGGCCAGAGCGTATACCTGTATAGGGTGTTTTCCAACCGGTAACTCCTTCTCAGTTCTGGCTCCAGAGGTTGGTAGATTCTGACTGGCATTTGAAGCCAATTGACCTAACTCGGCCATCGTCCAGACTTCCGGAGGCACGTAGGCTTCAGCCATTTCGGAAAATCTTCGCAAATGGTTGCAAGATTGTCTAGCTCGAGTTGAAATATGTTTGAATGAAAAAACTCGAGAATACGAGAGTATCTTTATCATGCACAAATGATTGGTCAATAGTAATTTTCAAGATATGTCTGCTTGCAATTGCTTGAAGCCAAACAAATTTCAGTCCGAAAACTAAGTCTCTTTCTAGCAAAACTAACTGAAATTGAACAAAATCAATATCATACCTAAAGACCACCTAAATATTCAACAAATTTGTAACAAAAAAAAACAAAATTTTACATTCTATTGAAACAAGAGCAGCCGTTTGCTGCAAAGACGCGCACCATAATCCGACAACAAAAAAACAAAAGAAAGAAAAATCGAACACTTTATGAGATAGTATTTTCCAAATTTCTGGAAGATTTTTTTAGTATATTTTTAGTACATGAGCCGTCGTCATTTTTTACGCCGGATGATTTAACGCTATTACATATTACCCTTTGAATGTTTTAAATCGCTACTATGTAACTTCAACAAAAAAATTACTCAATTTTAATCTGGTAATTAGACATTGCGGTATTTCATTATGCGCGAAACGATCTCTCGCGTAAGATTGCAAAATGAGACTTCCGATTTCGATATGTTCATGATAAAAAAAACCAGTCAACGATAAGTCTCGTTTTTAGCACATCTAAATACCATGGCCTAGCAGTTGCAGATATTTTGGCGCCGAAATTGGAGTGATTTTCTTTGATAATTAGCGTCAGCAATTTCCCGCTCTTTAGAAAATGCGTTTGAATTATTCTGAAAATTTCCCGCCTTTTTCGGCACTGTTGTACTTCAGCACTGTTGAACGCCCCCTCTTCGCACCATTTGCGATAGAAATATGAATGTCTATGATTAAAATCAAACGGAAAAAATTGACAAAAAAACTTCAAAAAATCGTGTCATAAAAATTTGCAATAAAAGCCCAAAAAATCCGGAAAAAAATTGCCTGCATCATCAAAAACTTTACAATGACCTTTCGGAATGCTACAAGGAAACCAATTTGTCAAAAAATCATTTCTGCGGAACTAATTTGACAAAATTACACAGACCAACGATAATCTAAATTAGCTGAAATTTTCTTTTTGCAAAAAAAAAAACAGGTCTCGACTGGAATCAAACTCCCGGGCTTTGTCGTTCTGAGTATACGGGTTACAGCAACTTGGAAGAAAGCTGAACCTTCAAAAAAAGTTCAGCTACGAAAGCTAAGCCGACAAAATAAACAGACGGACGATAGCCAGAAAACGCACAAAAACTCAAGTTTGCAAAAAAAAAGGTTCCGACCGGATTCGAAACGCAACCCTTTGCGGTCTCAAGAAGTTGGGTTATCTCTACTCCAGATGTGCCGGATGGTTGATTGAAATTGAATTTATGATAACCCAGCGACATCAAAGACGTAAAATATCTTGGCAGAAAAGGAAAATTCTTAACTACAAAAACATTATGTCCCTTTTCCCCTCAGACCACACCCAAGTACGCCAAACTTTTTTGATCCCCAAACGACGCAATACAAGCCCACTAGATCGATAAAACCGAAACATATTAAGCCGATGAAAAAGACAGAAAATGAAAGAAAAAAAGAAGAAATTTTCACATATCGAGCTAGTAAAATTACTAACTAGAGTGTAACTCACCTCCAGTGCTTTGAAATTTTAACAACTCAAAAAAGCATATATTGGAAGCAAGATCTGAATCCTTTGAACGTACCCTGGCAGAACCCAATTACAGGGTTGGTAATTTCAAGTTTTTATTCACGTTTTTTAAATTCAGAAATAAGAAAAGGCACATCTCGGAAACTCAAATTAACTGAGCAGTCTTATTTGGACGTAAGATATGCAACTCCTGACGGTACTCTTACAGAACCCAAATACAGCGTTGCGAATGTTAAAGTTTGAGAAAACCGTAAAAAACGTCATATCTCGAAAACTACAAGGACTTGAGCAGTCCTATTTGGAGGCAAAATTTGCAACTCCTGAGAGTACCCTGAGTCTTTCCGAAAACACAACCAGATAATTAATCATTCAAATTGAACCCAAGAATAACGCTGACTTTTTATCACTATTTCTGTCTATTTTTCTAATTCTTACTGCTTCAGACCATGAATATAACAGCAACTGCCACGGAAAACGACGCACTATATCAGCATCGAAGAGCGCACAATCGTGGGAAAAGTTGAAAACATGGCTAGATGGTGAAGCCCGCATTTAATTATATAATAGATAGATAATAGATAGAAAGATAGATAGATTTATAGACATTAAGCCGAAAACCCTCCATACTTAAATAGTGGACATTTTAGATTTATCGAAGATTTTGAATGTAAACTGATGCAGACAGCCTTTTGCAACAACTTTTCGACCTCTATAAGAAGAACCAAATCATTTCATGGGCTAATTATTTATCGCTACAAAACAGTGAGCCTTCTCTAATTATGAAATCACGCGATAAAAACCTTCAATCTGTTATTCAAACACTTAGTCCAATAATTCTCCTTTTCTTCTTGAGATCAATTTGTTCATATTTATCTATTAAATCAAATTGCAGGCAGAACTGATGAAAACACGCGTTCTGCCTTTCTTATAAGCCATTGGAATGCTTCAACGCTACGGTCACCTAAGGTCAAAAGCTCCAAAACTGCTCCGATCGGCTAAATTTTGTATTGTGCTGCTATATCTACGTACTGTATCTATGTGCTAAGTAAACAACCACTGTTCACAAATCATCTAGCAAGTTCACATACCATATCTTCACAGGTGAGTCAAATAAGTAGCGCGCTGTAGAGGCGACTGCACCCCCCATTGCTAATACCTATTGCTGCGACCGCCTCAATTCTGGTTGCCAATTTTTTCAAAGGGTCGCCCCTTTTGTATGATAATACGATAACCACTTATAGTCCTTCAACCTTTTGGCGCCAATATATAACAACTTTGAGGGGAATGCAATACTTGGGTCAAAACCCTGCAAAACATGCTCAAAATGGTATTTTTCCAAAAGACATCACCAGCAGCGCCGAAAATTTTACCAAATACGATCATTTTAAGACTTTAGCAGCGGAGTACAAAAATTTTGAAATAGCTCATGGAAAACAGTACTCCTAAACAAAATTTATCGAAAGAAAATCTAAACTCGCCTACACTCTGTTTGATAAATGCATCTTCACTGTTGAAACTTTTTGATTTTTTTGGTTTTTCAAAATTGCTGATTTTACTATGACTCGAAAATTTCTGAACTACACTAAGTAGAAAAAAAAAAATTTAGTATTTTTTAAGACTATGGTCAGTACAATCTGAACTACTTGCACAGTAACCGGCTATCCTAGTTTTATTAAGCGAATAGCTTAAGCAAATTATTAGTGCAAAAAAAATAAAACAACAGAAAAAGATTTTTTTCCCTTATTTTTTGGCGGTTTTTGTGCGTTTGCGTTCTTACTAAAAATTTAAACTATTCTTCCTTATCTTGATTTTATTTAGAAAACCCTGTTCTCACAGCTCAGGCAAGCAACTTCTAGATCATCATGGAAACTCTTTGCAACAATTTTCCCTCAAAACTGACATTTGGCCACGACGCCAAACGCACCCTGCTTGTGGGTGCCTTTGCTCTAGGAACTTACCAAGGGGTGAAATTAACAGGGAACTTTCTGGCTGGAGTATGGAAACATTTGCTCAGACCTGGTTACGACCTCAAAAAGAGGTTAGACAGTTATTAACTCACACCCACGTATTAAGGGTATTCTGCCACAGCCCTCAGAAATATTTTACGGTCTCAAATTTGAGCTTCCGTCACGGCTTGGCCTATTATGCATCAACGACGTTTCAAAAACTGCGACCATTAAATTTATAGTTAAAAATTTGGATTTGATCAATACGTCTTGAAATTTTCAAACATTGTGAAGCACGATGAATCATAGGATTTATCAAAAACATAGGGAGCGGTTGTGAAGTGATTGAGTCTCGGTCTAACAGTCAAAAGGTCTGCTAACGTTCGAGGCCCACTATGAGACGTACTCGTTACTTGAGGTCGAGGCAACAATACGCAGTGCAGAAAAACAAAAATGCATGTAATTTTTAATTAAGGGTAGCAACAGAGGTTCTCCGCTAAGAGCTGAACTGTCATATGTTGGTCCTTTCCCTTGTGGACAAATTACATCAACTTATCTTTTCAATTAGTCGTTTTCAGATACGCGAGCGATAGTAGTGAGTGCTGGGCAGTGGTGACTGGTGCTGCGATGGGCATTGGGAAAGAGTATGCTAAGCAACTGGGCAGGAGGGGATTCAACATCCTGGCCATAGACAAGGACGAGAGTGAGATGGAGAAGACCCAGGCAGAACTGAGCAGACTCGGAATCAAGGTCAGCAATAAGTAGCCTTTTAAGGATTAACGCCTGGTCGTCTATGGTCCTCTTTTCAAAAGCACTTATCTAGGGTGCTCAAAACCCAGACGTCAACTCTTTTTCGGCGGTAGTAAAATCCATGGACGGGGTAGTAAAATCCTAAATCATATCCATGGACGATGTTCACAACTTTTTGAACTTGCGCCATCTGTGAACCAGTTCGTTGCATACTATAAAGGTTATTGTTACTATCTCCGGTCGCTGGAGAAATTCGCTGATTGATTTTTAACATGCGCTGAATGTTTCAGGTGAAAACTATAATCTGGGACTTTGGCAAAATCTCCAATGCTGAGAGCTACGAGGCGTTCGAGAAGGAGCTTAAAAACGCCACTAATGGTAAAAAAACTCCACTGATCAACTTTTCAATTTCAATTTTTCTTGCTATTATCTTGTTCGGTCTATCGTGACATGGTTTATATCAGGACTAGACATCGGAATTCTGGTGAATAATGCTGCCGAGTTCCAGCAGGAGTCTCTGGACATGATATCTGTGGATCGTCTATTCCGAGCATCCAGTGTGAACTCACTCACTCCAGCTCTACTGGCCCGATACTTCATCCCTAAGATGCTAGCCAGATACAACAATGTAATCAAACTGTTTCAAATTTCGGAAAAACCGAACGTTGTCAATTTCGGAAAAAAAATTCGGAAACAAAACATTGTCAAAACTGTACATAAATGCCAAGACTCAAATAAAAAAAACATGATCATCTAGTCTTGGGATGTGATTTAACATTTACAAATAAAAGCATGTTTAAGATAGTAACTTTCCTCTCTTGTATTTAGAAATTTGGTTGATTCAGTACAGGAATCCAATTTTTTTTTCAATGAAAGGTCGAATGATGGCGTAAATTTTAGGGACTGAAGTCTGCCATTATCAACGTGGGAACAAATGCAGCCGAGATCCAGAACCCTAGATACAAGTTCGCTGTATACGGAGCCTCGAAAGCATACTTGCACATTCTCAGCAGTGGAATGAGAGAAGTATGTTCGCTTTATCAAATATACAAACTTTTACAAGAAAATATAAATGAACCCGCGCCGTTCATTCATCAAACATCATAAAACTAAAAGACAGCCTGCTGCGAAGTTAATTTGCGAAGTTAATTTTGGACTACAACTTTTCCATTCAAATATGAAACTTTTAGTTAATGTCAACTGAAGAACCGACTTTACTACTCGGTTCTTCAGATGACCTTCTAGATAAATCAAACTACAGACAGGTCACCCTGGACGCGTCATCCATTTTGAAAAGACAATTGTAGTTCAGTAACGCTCTTACTTATCTTTTAGGTAAACGTTAAATACCCCCTAAGAGCACGCACAAAAAGGCGTCTCAAATTGAAGAAAAAATTGAAAAAAAAAACTGTGGTTGGAACCTTCTGTGCTAATTGAACAACCGGCAATTCCTGATTTTATTTATGCAGCTGAATCGCAAATTTTTCAGGTGTGGGGTGACAAGATAGACATCATGACTGCCATTCCTAGACAGACCAAAACACCCATGTGTCCCGTGGACTACTGCTTCACAGCCACTCCTAGGGCACATGTGAATGCTATCCTGTCTCAACTAGGTCACGAGAGCGAAACCTACGGGACCATGACTCATGATATAGAATACTATATGAGGTGAGACAGGTTACATTGCATCACTTGCCTTTTAGGAGTTTGTCACATGCACGACAAGGCTTCAATAAAAAAAACGAAAAAATTGCACATACCTTTTAATTTCATTGAAAGCCAACTCCGGTTACGTCTCATGCACTATAGTCCCAAAAAATACAGGGACTCAGATATGAAATGATTCAAATTCCCCATGCGCTGAAAAATAACTTGTTATCAGGTTCGGCATGTTCGGTGGCTTTGTGATTGACAACATGATTCAATGGCTGAATGAAGGAGAAAGCAAGAAACTGATCAGTGCTTACGAGAGACGAATGTCATAAAAACAGACTAGAATAAAAAACCGTGGATTCAGAAAATCAAAACAATCGAACACAATCAAATGATATAAAATATTTGTCCGGGCTTTCAACATGGAACTGGAAATACTTGGAAAAAACTAGCTTTAAATTATTTCAAACAGCTAATTTCAAACTTCTTATATATATTTTCTCGAAATACTTCTAAATCTGCTGGATGAAAACTAAAATTAATCAACCTTCAGCTAAGAACCCAGAAGAGCTTCGAAATACCCCACATCCGAAATAAGCTTTTCGGGCATATTTATATAAAAAAATCTTATCATTGCATGAAACAGCTTAAGAATTGCTGTATTTGGGATGAGAGGCAAATTAAATTTTGATATGCTCAATCTGATGGTCTCATATTTGACGATAAATTTAAGTTCATGATGAAAAACAATAAATAGTTCATGGCAGTGACGTACGCAGATGTTTTTCCAGGGGGGCAGTTTTTAGAAAAAATTGAACAGGCAAAAACTCTGCGCTGTAGAAATAAAAAAATTCTGCGCCGTAAGCAAATTTGTGAAAAAAAAAAACAGTATAAAAACGACGTTTTGAGCTTTAAAAAAATGACCAAAAAAAACGGCGTTTTTTCGGCGCGCTACGTCCCCACACCCCCTCCCCTACTCAAATTTAGTTATAATGCTGCCCCTAGAACATTTTTGATATTGTTCAGCCAAAAAAAAACGATCTCGTAAAGTCAGACCAAAGGGAGACCCTTTGGAAAAATTTGGCAACCAGAATTGAGGAGAGGGCGGGCGAAATTCTTGCTGCCAGATTTTTTCAAAGTTTTCCAAAGGGTCTCTCTTTGGTCTAACTTTATGAGACCGTTTTTTTGGAAATGCTTGCTGATTGAGTCTCCAAGTAGTTAATTTGAAAATTCTTTCGAAAACACGTGTTCTTGCGCGACGGTTCAAATTGCTTTTGGATAACCGAAGAACCGATAACTTTTTATTTCTTTTTAAAATTAATAAAGTTAAAAGCAGAACCTAAAACGCTACCTGGCCGTAGCTAGCATGCTATAATCATCGAAAAATGAAAACAGCAAATTGAAAACAGCTAATTGAAAAAAACTCAAATTAAAAAAAATATAATGTAAAGGAAAAACCTAGGGGGCTTAGGCATCAAATTACTGTTGCACTTGATTTTATGAGACCATCTGAATCCTAAGTTCTATGGATCTGTGATCATCTAAAGCAATTGAAAATTTATCCTTCTCCTTTAAAACAATGAATAAATCTGAACATAGGCTACAGCGAGGTGCCAATGAGCGCAAGGATAAGTGTCAATGAGCTCAAAGAAAATGAAAGAAATATATGGTTTTGTAAACAATTTCGACTTTCGGTTTTCAAAGAAAAAAATACATAACGTAAAAAACATGCCAAATTCTTTGCACTTTGTAGTTCAGAAATCTTTTCGGATGGACACTTTTTCCGGACAAACCCACTTAGAAAAAGAAAAGTGGGTCGGCATAAACATAATAAAATTTATTTTCAAAACTGAAGTCAATCACGTTTTTTCGCGCTATGTGCACCACCGTAAATGGATAAATGGAGCGAAATTCGCCGTCTGTCAAAAAATGAATTAGAATTGAACTTGAAAAAAGCAATCAAAAGTCACAGCCAAAAATCAAATTTGAACGCGAAATTTTAACTTTTCCTTGAAAAAATCATACGACATAGAGTCCACACTTGGTTCATTAACACTTTAAAATAATTCATTCAAAGAGGCGAAGCATAGCTTTGCTCCACTTGCGATACAAAATGAATGACTATGATTAAAAGCAAATGAAAAGACAAATCAAATTGAAACAAGGATAGCCGGTTACTGTGCAAGTAGAGCAGAATTTTCCGACCAGTCTTAGTTTTTTCAAATTAATGTCGTTTTATATGTGGTGTGATAAAAGATCTGGAAGAAAAATCGGATTTGAGGAATTTTCGACGATCGTAGCAAAGTAGCCCAACTGGAAAACAGTTGTTGTACAAAAATGTTTAGCAAATAAACCAAAGTTATTTTTTCAATTTATTGAATTCCAAAATGGCGCTAAAAAACTCCAAACACTGAATATACTCGAGTAAAACTAAGTGTTATTGGCTTAAATCAAGCATAAATAAGCTATTGTAAGCCTGGAAGCTCATCTTATTAGCTCGAAATTTGAACAAAAATCAAAATTGCAATAAATTGCAGGGCTTTTAAATTTAAAATTTTTTTAAAAAAAAAAATAAAAATAGCAGGGCTTTTATAATGATATGTCACTCGACCCAGTCCGATGATTATTTATGGCATCTGGTTTGTGTGGAAAACAAAGAATTAAAAAAACTAAAACACCCGAATACAAAGTTTCTCCCCATTTTTGAAATGGTCGGAACAAAAAATTTTAACAGTCGTTTCAAAAAAGAAATTATACGCAGAGGAGAAGCTGAGCTTCGCACCATTTCGGGTACACAATAAATCTCCAAAAAATAAAAGATAAGGTGTCTTAAACGAAAACTGAAAAACATGAATGAATTTTGTGCAAGAAACAGTAGGCTCAAAAATCAGAAAAAAATTTATTCAGTTGTTATAGAAGTCAATTACCTTCAAAACAAAAAAAGGATTTAGGTTTAATTCCATCCAATTCTTTCTGATAACCAATGGATAAAAACAATCCCTGATTGTTCCGATAAGAACAATCGGGGATAAAGGCCCTATCCGCTATAGCATAAGATCAAAATGAAAAAAAAAATTCAATTAGATAAACGGAAAAAATTACAAACAAATGCCACAAAAAGATCTTGCAGAAAATCTGAAAAAACTGAAAGCCTATGAAAATAACGCAATTACATCAAGAATTATCAAAAAGGAAAACTATACGCAACGGTAAAAAAGCCAGATCACAAAAAAAATATCTAAATCGAAATAAAAATAAACATGAATTTTTTCAAAATTTTGGCTAGAAAGAACCACAGAACCATCTTTTGTAGACAAAAAGTCGAGTCAAATTTGCAAACAAAAAAATCTGGAAACTTATCAATTTTTTTGATTTATTTTTTGACAAATTGAAACTATCAACTTGAATCGGTTTTAAATACAAGTGCTTGAACCTTAAACACACCTAACTAATTAAACCTTGAAGTAGTTTCCCGCACTTTTATAACAAAAAAATCGAAGAAACCATGCATCCGAAAAAAAAATGAAAAATTATTTGCAAAAAAAATTTCTAGCAGAAAAATTCAAAAGTTTTATTTCTAAGAGAAAAATTTGGCGCCTACAAAAAAAACAGAAAACCACGAACTATATATACTCTCATGAAAACGAAAAGAAAGTATACAAAACTACCAAACAATTACAGAATTAATTGCCGGGCAAGTGAGCCGACAACAAATTGCAGCTGTCAGACGCACATCTTGAATAGAAAAAGAGATTAGAGATACATTTGGAGATCACCAATTTTCAGTCTTCTTGTGGACAAAGTTGTTTAAGGGAAAAAAATCTAGTACCCGATTGTAATACCCTTTCTTATCGCAAGGGTGAAAATTGTAAAAACCCGAACACAATAAGGGAACAAAAAAGCTTGCACCATTAAAAACTTTAACACGAGCTTTCGGAATGCTAGAAAGAATCTCTACCTTCAAAGTCCTCTCTGTGGGAACTAAGCCGATTAAATAAACAGACAGACTAAAATAGCCGAAATTTCATTTTGTAATAAAACAGGTCCCGACTGGAATCGAACAAACGGGTTTCGTCGTCTCAGACATGGGTGTTATCATTGCGCGAAATGCTCTTTGAGTTAGCATTGCTAATAAAGCAAAAAAACACTTGCAACTTTTTTACGGGAAAAAATTCTAGTAAACGGTTGCAATAGCCTTGCTGATCGCAAGGGTAATAAATCATCAGATTACTTTTTTGTTCAAAAATTTGTTGTTTATGTTTTATAATTTGGCTTGAAATTACCTCATCTTTATACGCAGATTTCTTCACATAGCTCTAGACGCCTGGCGAACTTTTTTTTTTTAGTTCCAAACGTTTGTTTTCATCAACCGAGCTCATCTGTTTCACGGATCTAAGCATCACTCTGGCAGCAAAATGACGAATTCTGACAATCCAATGAATAAATTGACGGGCCATAAAATTAATGTGCATCGAAGTAGATATATACAATTCATTAAAATTGAGGATAAAGCTACAGATTTTTGGGTAAAATAAGGAGACTACTTAAACTACTAAATGATTGAAGTTCATTAAACACCACTGTATATGGAGTAGAAGTAGATGTAGACTAAGAAGACTGGATACAGCACCAGTGGCTTCTTGTTGGCCAAATTGTCCTGTATAAGCAGAGTCCCAGCACTGTATGATGCCCACAACACTCCGAGAATCTGAACAGAAAATTTGTACTTAGCAAATAAGCAAATCAAACATCAACTGGCTCAAATTTATACTCATTCAAAACGTTATGTAATCTTTTTCTCGCATTGTTACCAAAATCCAATCTAAAATTTATTTACTTGATTTTTTCAAAACTCTGAAATTAAGCAGAAATTCACTTGTGGGTTTCTTCTTTAGCAATCGGGATCTAAGTATAACTTTGCATTGAGGATTCAAAATAACCACATCAGTTAAAGTTACTTAACTAAAATCTACTAGCAGCTATCAAATAATTCGAAAAAAGGCTTCTCAGAATATCTACTGACCTTTAAAAAGAGTGCAATTAAGTAGAATGAAGAGAATACAAGGAGAGACAAAGCTGTGATGACAAGAGGAATGAGCGAATAACCGATCACTCCCAAACACTGACCGTAACTGACCTAAAAAAAAACAAGCAAGTCCAAAAGTATTCTAACATCTCTTATTTCTATGAATTCTCTAAATAAACTGTTTACCTCTCCACCCAAAACTCTAGTCAAAATAAACACGAAGAAGCTCCCGAAAAGCCACACGGTCAGAATCCACGATACCGCCTGAAACAACACAACACAAACAACGTTTTTTTTCTGTTAATGAAAGCAGTAAGAGTTTTCTACTCCTCTTCAAGCAAGATTAAAAAGAATGCAATTGCAGTTTTCGCAAACCTCTATTGATTTAATCAAATCTCGCAAAGCTCAACAAATTTAATTCGCATCCATCACTTATTTCTTATTTATGTCAATATTTAAGTAAAAGATAAATATTAAGACAAATTTGAGTAAAAGAACTGCTGCAAGGTCGATTCGACATTCAAATACGTTTTTTAGAAACTTACACTCATTTGCCCGTAGAGGGATATGAAAGCGAACATGAGCACTACCATCAGAGGTCCCCAGAAGTCAGGACTGTCATTGAGAATGGATCTCTTGAAGCCCAGCGAGGGCAGAGGGAATAGGACACACCTCACTTTGTAGTAGATGTCGCGCAAGTCAATGTCCAACTCCTCTCTAAGAATGATCATGCTCACATTAATTCCGAACTTTTGAGTCCAGATTTGACAATATTGATTGCATATTCGATAACAAAAACTTGAACATAGAACAATTTATGTGAGGAAAATGTTTTTCATAAACATACAAATCAATTCGATTTATCAGGTCCTCATTTAAAGGCAGAACTGGCGAGAAATTGTTATGACTAAAACGAAGCGTTTACAACGTTTTGAACACTTCTATATTTTTGCAAAGAATTGCTCGGAACTAAGTAAGTCATATTCTTCATTTGGTCATGTGGTGATCTTTCTCAAAAGAAGCTTTAAGAATTCCAGAACTCGCTAAAGAAGTATTTTTACAATTACCTTCAATGACACTATGAAAAACATACCAACATATAGCTCGAAAAAAGTCAATGACAATGACAAAACCTATAAAAAAAGAAAAAACGAATGAATGAGAGAAAGAAAAATTACGGATGAAGAATAAATATTTTCTTTCGTTTTCCCAATTTCATACTCACATGCCCTGTTTAATAAGCTGCTATTGAATTAAGCTTTTATTTGCGAGTTAGGTTGGGAAAAACGTTCCAAATGATACATTACGCTCGCAAGATCGCTAGTGTGAAAAACACGTGAAAAAGCTTATGAAAATTAATGACAGCATTAAATACCATCATCTCAGCACATAGCCAACAAAAAATTAGAGAAGTCAATGCAATTTTTAAATCAACAAGCCCAAATAGAGAAAAAAAATCCACTTTGAAAACTTCAATTTCAGAAAAGCGGTCGAGAAGCACAACCTCTTGCATTAAGCAAGCTTTTGATAGTTATCGTGCGGTTACTGAGCCGACAACACGTGGTTAGACGTTCAAAGAACCCTATTTGGTTAAATGCTGTTAGACAATTGAACTAGGCTTACAAGTCAAGGCTGAAAATATGACGTCTCAAATCCTTGTAGTTTTCGAGATATCGCAATTTTTATGATTTTATCGAAAAATTCTTGATAGTTAGAAATTTATTTTAATTTTTTTTTCGAAATTTTGTGAAATTTTTACATATTTGGTTAAATGTGCTACGAATCTAGGCTGAAAATATGACGCCTCACATCCTTGTACTTTTGAGATATCGCGATTTTTATAATTTTTCGAAAAATTGATACTTAAAATTTAAAAAAAAATTTCATTATTTTTAAATTTTTACCCATTTGGTATATGCTGTTAGACAATTGCACTAGGCTTGCAAATCAGGGCTGAAATTTTGAAACCTCGAATCCTTTTAATTTTCAAGAAAATTTTACTAATAATGAAAAAAAAATTAACTAATAATAAGAAAAATTAACTAAGTTTTTTCATTGATTTGCTTAATGGGTAGACTCTAGGTGGGCAATCTCTATGCCCTTTGTCTATCCACTCCAAAGTCTGGTGCTCATAATATTGGCACAACTTTTTCCATTTCTAGTTAATGTATATTTGTTATATGCTGATGTTGTTTGTCGTAACTTATGGAGAAATAAATTCTTCGAAAAAAAAAGCCAAAAGAAATTGTTGTCATAATAAAAAGTTAAGCGATTAAATTGTCTGAACTTTTAATTTTTATACTAGAGCCGGCATAATTTAGTTCACTTATACAAATTCACTAAAAATTAAGTTCACTAAGCCGAAAAACATTAGCCGAACTCATTTAGGCCGAATAAAAGTTATAAGCGAAAACAATGCTGAAAAAACGAAATTTACCAATCTTAAAATATTTTGTAGCTCCAAAAAAATCTGAAGTGTGGCAACTAAACCGACAAAACATAAACCGATAAACTATAGTTCGACTATATTCAATTTTTGCCGGAAAAAAACTTTTCATTTCAGACACTGAAAAAATTGGTCCCATCGAGAACATAGTAGCACAGGCGACCGTATTACCTGCAGACCAAGCGGGAATGGGGCCTGCGAGTTGCTCAGATTTGATAATAAATCAACATTAACTTTGTAGAAATCTGTATAAGTTGTTTACTTTGAAGAAAGTCTAGTTCCTGATTACACGACGTAAAAAATTGCATTACAAGACGTAAAAAAAATCTTTGGTGCGAAAAAAAAATTGTTTGACCCATATGAATTTCAGAAAATTGTTTGAGCACCCATTTTTAACTTGTCTGGTCGTGTTCCAGATTGTCTAAGCCGTTCGACAAGAAGCATAAACGGTAATGCAAGCTTAGTTGATTAAATGCAAGTTACAATAAACCGACAGATTAAATCGAACAATTTTAAAGAAAAGTGTACCGATATCAATCCCACCAGCTAAGCTATGCGATTTAAGCGGTCATTAGCGTAAAAATGTAATCGATTTCAATACGACGCCTATTTAAACATTTGAGATTTGAACAGGCGAAAAAAAAGTAAAATTAAATCAAAAACCTTAAATAATCAAACAAGGATATCCGGATGGGGTGCCATATTCTTAAAAGCTAGAAATTTTTTTTTCAAATAGTGTCTTTTTTGAGAGTGGTTTGATAAAAGGATCTGAACAAAGCCTAGGATAACTGAGGCATGCTTGACGTTTATCGTTAAAAAGGCAAATTAAACAATGGTTGTCGGGAAATGACTAGAACCACGAAGAGAAATCGTTAAGAAATCGAATTTTTTTGGAGTATCAAATTCTCAATGAGGATTGAATTCTCATTCTCAAAATGGCGCTTTAAAACTTTCGAAAACTAATTTTACTGGATTAAAACGAAATTTGAGGGCTTGAATAAAAGTTACAAAGTTTATTTTTCTATAATGCTACGTCTGCAATTGGACTTTCCATATTTAACAAAAAATCACTAATCTTATTTGCAAAATCACTAAACTCGTGAGATTCTTGATCAAATTAGTTATTATTTTCATTAGCCCTTACATTTATTATTTTCTGCCGTCAATCGTTAAATCTAGCGTAAAAATTGAAAATATCACTCTTTTTTTTAGTTTATGGAAATTTTAGAAACATATAAGAAACGTCAATTTTGTCTGAAAAAATTGAGTAGAAACACTAGTATAGAAACTACATCCGCAACTGATGTTAGCAATCTGACATCACCACAGCAGGTTGTCAAAGGCAAATTGCGAAAGAATCGACAAACTGAAATTGAAAAAAATATATAAATATTTTTGAAATTTTACCTTTTTGAAAATCATTTAATCTTCAAATCCTGAGAACAAAATGATTTGAGCAGTCATACTCCCAGGCAAGACCTGCAATTTCTAAGATTACCTTGAGAACACCCCACTTAAAGATAGGGAATTTCAAAATTTGAAGAAAAAACTTTATATTTGAGTTTTAACGTGTTTGAAATTTTCTTAAAATCATTAAACTGTCGTATCTCGAAAACAAAAACAATTACAGCAGTCAAACTTGAACGCCAGATCTGCAACGTATGAGAGTTACCTGAAAACACCTCACTCTGAGGTTGAAAACTTCAAAAATTATTTTTAAAGTTTTTTTTAAATTCAAATTTTGTTTTTGAAAAACATTAACAAAACGTCATATCTAATTAACTAAAAGGTTCTCAACAATCAAACTAGGTAAAAAGTTTGCGACCCCTGAACTTACCTCGACAGCAACCAAAAACAGGGCTAGGAATTCCTAAAGCTAAGTTTTAGGTTAATGTTTGAAAAAATCAACACATCGTCGAATCTGTTCAGCTTCAAGGGTTTGGGTATTAAAATTTAAAAGCCAAAATCACAAACCCACTGGGAACACTGACACCATCACACTATGAACTTGGTACAATAAACACTGAAAACTTCATAAGAATTTTTTGAATTTTTCAAATCTAAAATTGCTGGAAATGGGAAGAAAATCATAAAAGTCATATCTCGAAAACTACAAGGATTTGATCAACCATATTTGGAGGCAAGACTCTCAATCCCTGAGAGTACTCTAAAAGCACCCAATCATAGGGTTTGGAGTATGAAATTTTTCAACTCGCAACGATTTTGGTATTCATAATTGGAGGCAAAACTTGCAACTCCGGGAGGGACCCTGACAGCATCCCATTATTGGGGTCCTAATTTTAAACTCGGTGAAATAAACACTGATTTCAAGCTGTAAAACCGAAAAAATACTTGACCATTGCAATATACGATATAGCTTTAACGGGAAAAAAATTCTTTTGTTAAACATGCAAAAATATGTTGAAAAAGCTTAAATATGGCGAAATAGTGAAGCCCGCATTTAAATATATAACAGATAGATAGATAATGGATTACACCAGAACAAAACCACTCACCAGTTGCTCATTTACCAATAGACAAGGATAAATTTAGATAGGCAAAACTAACAACTTACGAAAAACAACTTATATTGGAAAAAGATTGGCTATCTTTGAGAGTACTGACAGCACCCAATTACAGGGTTGTTGGTAATTTCAAATTAAAAAAAAATTTTGACGTTTTTATTGTAAGTTCTTCGAATTTTTTTTAATGAATTAAGAAACCTCACATCTCGAAAACTAAAAGCAATTGAGCAGTCGCATTTGGACGTCAGATTTGCAACTCCTGAGAGTACTCTTACAGTACCCTACTACAGCGTTGCTAACTGCAAAATTTTTTTAAAAAAATTCAATTCAAACTTTAAAAATCATAAAAAGTCATTTCTCCAAAACTTAACGGTCCTACGGAGAAATTTAGATGCCAGAATTGCAACCACTGAGGATCATCTGAGATCTTTCTACTAAAGGGTTGTGAATTTTAAACTTGGTGATTTCTTTAAAAACTGTTTCCCACAAATGAAAAAGTCATGAAACAAACGTCATAACTCGGAAACTAAAAAGATTTGAGCATTCATATTCAGAAGCATATTCGCTACGCCTGAGAATAACCTTACAATAAGGTAGTCTCACTTTAAAGTTGGGAATTTCAAGTTTTGTGAAGCTATTTCTAGAAAAAACTTGAAAATTTTAAAACAATTTAAAAAAACGTCACATCTCGGAAACTAAAAACATTTGAACACTCACATTTGGACACAAGACGTGCAATTCCTGAGATTAAGCTTACAGTACTCAACTACAGGGTTGATACTTTTGAAGTTTCTTCAAATCTGTTTTCTGAAAATTTTGGAGAAAATCATAAAAAAACGTCATATCTGGAAAACTGCAAGGATTTGGGAAGTCATATTTGGAGTCAAGATTCGCAATCCCAAAGAGTAGCCTGACTGCCTCATAACGTAGATTGCATCTTCAAATTTTTAATCTCTCAGTTCTTTGACTAATTTTAAAGAGACAAAAAAACCGCATCTCAAAAACTGAGAGCAATCGAACAATTGCATTGGGACGCAAGATGTAGAACTTCGGCGAATACCTTCACAGTACCCAATTACAAAGTTTGGAATTTCAAATCTTTTGAACTTTTCAAATCTAAAATTGCTGGAAATGGGAAGAAAATCATAACGGTCATATCTCGAAAACTACAAGGATTTGATCAGCCAGGCAAGACTCTCAATCCCTGAGAGTATTCTAAAAGCACCAATTTACAGGGTTGGGAGTATGAATTTTGTCAACTATTTTTAATTTGAGTTTTCTGAAAACTTAAATCACAAAATTCGTCATATCTTTAAAGCTAAAAACGATTTTGGTATTCATAATTGGAGGCAAAACTTGCAACTCCGGGAGGGACCCTGACAGCATCCCATTATTGGGGTCATAATTTTAAACTCAGTGAAATAAACACTGATTTCAAACTGGAAAACCGAAAAAACACTTGAACATTGCAATATACGACATAGCTTAAACGTGAAAACGTTCTTTTGTTTAACATGCAAAAACAATACGTTGAAAAAGCTTAAACGTGGCCAGATAGCGAAGCGCGCATTCAAGTAAATAATGGATAGCTAGATAAAAGATTACACCAGAGCAAAACCATCCACCAGTGTTGCTCATTTACCAATAGACAAGATTAAATTTAGCTAGACAGATCTAACTCAAGTCTTGACACAGACGAAGCGAAGCTTTGCATCACTTGCGATACAACGCAAGCGAAGAACTGCAAGCTAACAGATCGAAAATGAGTCGGGAATAACAAAACCGATAAGACTTTTTAACTTGGGGGAAAAACGGAAAATAATTTTAGCAAAGCTGTAGAAATACGCAACCACCAGAATTGAATAAAGTTTTAGTAATTACCGAGCGGCCATTAAGCCGATAACAAATCCGTAGACGCCCATTGAGCCGAGAACAAAAAATATCATGCATGAGAAAACAAAAAATGCTTGTCATGGGAAAATTTTGAGCAATTCCATATTAAAACTTTTAAATCTTGCAACTTAAACTACCAGATCAGTTAATTATTGCCTTGGAATCAACACAAAGTAAGGCAATAAAGCCAATAAAACATAAGCCAAAACAATCAAGGCCGACTAAAGGTTCAAAGCTACCAAAAACAATGAAAATATACGTACATCAGACCTATTAATTTTACAAATTACAGGAGTAAATCAAAAAGTTGCAAATACGATAAAAATTGCTGAGAGTACAAGAAAACTTCCCGATGAGGCAACTCAGCCGACAAAACATAAGCAGACAAACGCAAGTCCGACATTTCAATTTTTCGCGGAGTCACTAACTTGCTAAGGTTGACTAATAAAGCAACTTCACAATCTCCAGAAAAATTGTTCAGGGGAAAAAACTAATTCTCAGTTACAATACACGTGCTCTCGCAAGTTTAAAAAACAAATATTGCATGGAAAATAGAAACACATTGAACTACTTTAAAGTCAAGCCAAGTCAAGTTTTTTATGACCATTAGGCAGTGCCTCTTGTGGTCATTTCAAATGTTTTTTTCCTATCTCCGTTCGAATTCGTACATGTCAATTCCAATCGCTTTCCAATGTTTGTCCAGTTTCCACTTGAATTCGTCGATGGTCTTGCTTTGCACTGTTTCCTGTGGCAGATTGTTCCAGTCGAGAGGTGCTCTTATCGTGAAGAAATTTTTTCGCATTTCTAGATTTGCTTTATGTACTACTACTTTACTACTTCATGCCGTTTGCCTTACTGGCTTTTTAGTGATGTGTGTTTCGAATGTCAGTTTGTTGTCAAGCCAGATACAGGTCTTTATCGAGTTGCACTTCTTTAATGTTTTCGCCATTGATTTTATAAATCCTCTCCATATCCAATGTCTTGGTTCCTATTGTCATGTGAACACATTTGTCGATATTAAAGGACAAAAGACTTTGGCCTGACCAAGTTTCTAGTGATTGTAAATCTTCATGTATGCGTGTTACATCCGATTTGTCTTCAATTTGACGGTATAACTTCGCATCGTCAGCAAACAGATATATTTTTGACGCTATTTTGTCCGGCATTGTGTTGATGTATATCAAAAACAGTACTGGGCCGAGTACTGAACCCTGGGGTATCCCACTTTTTACTGGCTGCCATTTAAGTCTATTGATGGTTAACAGAATTTTGAATTACAAAGACTAAATTTTTTTAGTGTGATTTCACCCGATTGAGCCATAGAGCGATCAAAAACAAGGATAAGTATTGATCAGTCTTTGAACTGAAATAAAAACAGAAACTATTTGTTTTTTTTTTCTCTTGTCAACCCGGCTTCCGGCAAAGGTAAGCGCTAAACTATTTAGAATCCTTTTGTTTGAAATTGAGTTCTTACAGGATTGACGAATTGTAATCCTCGTCGTCTTCGTCTATTGTTTGTTCCATCAGCCAAGAGAATCCATTTCGGTCCAGAAACCCACTGCCAACCCCTGTATACTTTTTAGACCCCGCATTTCTTAATCTCAGTTCTGATGACATTCCATCGTCATTCATTTCAACTGTCGCCATATTGTTCGAATATTCAGTCACCGTGTAGGAACTGTATTTAGGATCATTTGGATCATAAAAATCTGGCTTTATAGTTCCAGATGACATGTTGGAATTGGGCTTAACTGTTATATCTGTGACTTGGTTCACATCAGGTGATCCAGCATTTTGACCGTTCTCATCGTCTATCACTAACTCATTACTTGAGTCAACTCTGATGTAAGAGAAGTTTTCGCTCATTCACCAAAAGCTAGAAATCATAAACCTGAAACTTACTTCGATATGAAAAATTACTATGAAACTTTTGCTCAAAAAAGTAGTTCATTAACTAGCAAATTATATTTTACAGAAGAACGCAATCAAGCATGGGAAATTGGTCATTTTTACTCTCTATCTATAAAATACGTACATATTTACAATTTACAGAGCCTAGCTTTTGCTTGAATCAACTATTGCCCTCAGTTTGTCCGCTTTACTCAGTTTTAGAGGCTGCGAAGTAGAGACTTGAGGGATTTTACTCGAGCCACTATTTCCGCTTTTAAAAAACTCTTTTCGTCTTGATTTCTCATTGGCAGATGAAACCGGAGACGTTCGCACGGGTAATGGCTCCAACTGAATCTTTCCTGACTTTTTTGGTAGACCTGAGCTAGTCGAATTAAATTGTTTGTCTTCTCCAGTAAGTAATATCCTCGATTCAAGTTTGTTTCTTTCCTCTTTGAGTTCACCCAAACTTGGTTCGTCGTTTGGGTCTTCTAGACACTTCTGAAGAAAAGTGATATCTTCTTTCAACTGCGATATTTCTCTGCCCAACATCTGCCGTAAAACTGTTGTAATTTCCCTCATTTCTAAATACTTCATCTTGGGCTGCAGCGCTTTCAATTTGATTTCAACCTGACTGTTGTAGCCTTCAACTTTGGAGAGCCTTTCCGAATCCATCGCTATGACTGGAGTTTGCCGTCCACTAGAGCTTGCTGTTGATCGCCTGGAGCTAGATGGCCGCGATGTAGCTGGCCTTGAGCAGAAGTCGAGAACTTTGGAATTGTGTTTCTGCAGAAAGTCCTCCAAAGACTTTCCTTCCTGTGATGCTCTGTCCCTCAGCACGTCTAATAGAAGTGAAACTTCTTTAATCAAACGGTCTTTAACAGCTGATTGATCCAAAAGAAGGTTCTTCTTAGGAGTCTGGTAGGTGATGTACTCCCATATTTCAAGCAAGCATTTTACTTCCTCGTGCAAATCGTTAGCTTGCTCGACCAAACTAGGACCCAAAACCTTTCTCACAATATCATGCTCACTTGAGGGCAAAATCGAAGATAAAATTTCCCAGACCGAGCAAGGTGGTTCGTATGGTATTTCGATGAGTCCATTCATAACATTTACATGCCTGGAAGAAAATACTCACTAAGATTGACAATAGAGGATGGTCAGCGTCCTGGCAAAGAACGCGCAGATACTTTTAGGATCGGTCAAGGACCACTAACCGACTTGAAGCTGAAAGGACCTCAGTCCGAACTTTTAACATTAGAAGCTATTCAAATCAGCTCAGTAAAGTGCAAAGATTGGAACCAGCGACCTAGATATTAAGAGCCTTAAACACTAACCACGGACGCTTAAATATCAACGAACCAAAGCCACATATACGCAGAGAACAGATGCTTAGCAATTTTTAATGCTATGGTAAAATTTCCAAAAAAGTGAATACTGTTACTGAACACTTTTATTTGTAACAGTCGCCTACTTCGGTCACATATGAGGCTTCAGAAAAATAGGCCCTATAAGCATTGGCTCAAGAGTCAGGGACACTATCTCTTGTGTTTTTCTACCTCAAAAACGGTCGGAGCCAAATCGGTTCGCTTGCGACATGAGACTAGAACCCGTTACAGCTTAAAGGCTACTACCAAAATATCCCCCCACTCTAGAAAATAAGAACGTCCCCATACTTAGGTCTCAAAATACCCAAAATACACGATTGCCGTTAAAAACAGGGTTGGAACAATCCGCACAGTTACTTTTTATTATACAGTGGAACTTTGATCCATTTCAGATGGATCAAACAAAAACTCGCCTTACCTCAACATAACAATCATAAAACACACTCGAGAAAATTAAATTTGGTACTTACATAGCAGCACGCTTGAGAAACAGAGTAATTAAACTAATTAATGACTCTAGCATAAATATAATCGAATATAACTCAAGAAGTTTTCTAACGATGAGTTCCAATCAAAGGAAATAAGTTTTAACCCAAGAATATAGTTTGGATCTGGACCATTGGGAGACTTCAGTTGTCTGCCTTTCCGTTGAAGGTTCACACTGGTCCAATTGATTCTAGCCCTGCTCTAGTATTTGTTTGGTCTCCTATATATATCAGATAGGACAGCTCTACTCTAGTTTTCTACGATAGAAATTGCGAATAGCAATTTCCCACTGTATATACTTGACAACTTTCCCGCAATTGTAATTCGGTCGCTCTGATTTTTTATTTGATGTTTTCATTTTTCGCGAGAAAACTGAGCATGACAGGCTCCATTCGAATTTTTGAAAAAAAAACTTCACTCCAAAATCACGTATTTTCGTTTTCCTCAAGGTCAAACTTCCAGATATGACCGACTGGCACATACTCCCCGGACTCAAGATCGATGTCCTCATCGCGGGCTGCCGTCTGTCAGTGAATCCCCAGAAACCCGAGTGTTACCCAAGATACAGTGCCAGTGGTCATTTACAGAATTTTGCAGCGGACTTAAGTTTTTCTACACCCCAAAATTCACAACCATGTAAAATTTTCACACTATCGCTAAACAGCAATCAAAATCTGCACACACCTGCACTTGTGAATTTTCGCTTTTTAAGCTAGTAATTTAAAATTTCTTTTGTACTATTCAATCAGGAAATTGTCATGCAGCGTTTTGATTTATATAGTAGATTTAAAAAATAATAACAATATCTCATTTGTTAAAACTTCTTTTTGGTGAACCCAGATTTCATCCGAGTTCAACCTCGAGCCCCTTTCCCTCTCAAGACTCAAGACTCTAGAATTTTAGTTTGAGCCACCGGCTCACCTCGCGTTCTTTGCCTTCGAGGTACCCGATCCAGATATGTTTGACACTGTGATCTGTTTCAATAGTGCCTCTTCGTCATCGGAGCTGATCACAATCTCCTCCCAAGCCTTCAGCTGTTCATTGGATCGCATCCACTCCCTTTGCTCTTGCAATCTCTTCACTTGATTCGGTAATCTCTTCACCTTCGACTCCCGGTTCAAACAGAAGGAATTGTGAAGACTCAGGCTTACATTCTTCGCTAGGTCCTCCTCCAGTATCGACTCCCTCGCCTTGGTGTTGTTTCTGGACACTCTATCAACTCTTTTCCACCCAGTCGTGATCGCATTTCGATGGGTCATCAGAGGTCTCTTGAAGGCTTCCGGCCCTATCTCGGCCTGGAACTGTCGATATTCCTTTTGATATTTCCTCATATGGTTCTTCGTTACCATGTATAACCAGGACGTCAACGTCGCTCGAAACCAAGGAAAGAACCGTAAGCGGCTCCATACGTGTCTGACTTCCATTGGTATGGCGAATACCTTGCATGCAGTCTCAAACAACTCAATTCTCCTGCTGTAATCTATCGCGTAAATCGACTCTGCCGTTGGCGTCTTCGATTCCCGATACTTTGTTACATTTTCTTCAATCTATCGTAGGGCCAGCATCGTGCTCACCACCAAGATGGTCACTTTCTGCTGATGATCGGGCAGTCCCAACGACCTGATTTCCTCCACATCCCAGATCAGGCAGAGATTCGCGTAATCCGGGTACCACACTGTTTGTGCCAGACAGTGGCATGGACATTCCCCATATGTGAGGTCGATGCTCCTAGGATTCCGTTCTCCCGAGGCTTCTAGGAGAGGCTCAAGTTCCATCAATTTCTCGTGTATCGCGTCGTTCTCTTCCAGGTTTGGAGCACCAACCATACGTGAAATTGATGGCTCCCCAAAATATCTTAAATAGTTTCATATAAACATGTCAAATCAACGTCATAGCTGCAAATCATGCCGTAAACCAATGATGTCTTCTGCTGAAATGTACCACTGTGTGGGATGTGACGCAAGGATGCATCTTGATACTACATGCACTGGTTTGACACCTGTGGCAGTCAATGGAATCAGGGAACTGGGAACGAGGGTCATGCTTCTCTGCAACGACTGTGTAGCAAACAACAAGAGGGACGACTTTGTTCAAGATGCTACAATTCAGCAACTTAAAGATAAGTTCACTACTGATATTATTGAGAGCAAATTTATTCCGGTCGTCAATACCCTAAAGCCTGTAACCGAAAACACGATAGAACAAATTTTCAATTCAAAAACGAATGCGCTTACCGAAAAAAGCACCGAGAAGGCGGAAGCCTTAATCAAGAAAAATAGCATGAAACAGAATGAAAAAGCAGATAATAAGAAGTCAAATAACTTTCACAATGTGTCGAAATGTCTAAGAATTCAGGGAATTCCTGAAAACAAAGATTTTTCAAAAAATGAAAATGTTTTTCACGCAAACGAAACAATAAAAGAAATATTTGAAAAACTGCGAGTGAATGCAAACGTGGAAAATGTACATCGACTTGGAAAATTTTCAGAAAGTCGTTCTAAACCAAGAGTTACTATGGTTACACTATCTAGTGAATGGCATGCAAAATTGATATTAGCCAAAAGTGCTGAAATGTGGGATGACCTGAAAAATTTGGGGTTTTTTATATTGCCTACCTTAAGCTATGAGGATTCAAAGAAAGAAAATTTATGCCTTCAAAAAAGACGTGAATTGATAAATGCAAACGTACCACCCAGCAGCTTGAAAATTCGTAACTTCCAATTATTTAAAGACGATGTTTTGGTAAACATTGATGCTAAAAAAGCCACTGAATGACTAATGTACCTAAACTGTGTACTGTTGAATGCCAGGAGTTTATTGAAATTTGAAAGAAGAAGAAAATTTGTTTCAGCTGTATCTCATTGTGCAGCATCTGTACATTTAGTGACTGAAACCTGGCTAAATGATCAAATTGAAGACACTGAACTCATGCTACTTGAATATTCTGTTTATAGAGCGGACCGCAAATTAACAGGTAACACTTCGAATCACGGTGGTGTTCTTATCGCAGTAAGAGATTGTTTTAATTCATATAAACTAAATCTAGATCTACCAGAATGTGCATTAGCGGTTCAAATAGAAGTGAACAATTTCAATTTCGCGATTTTTTGCGCATACAATCCCCCATAAGATAGCAAATACAGATATAATTTTGAAGATTTCAAAAAGATTTTTGATTCGATTGTCTCCATTAAAAATCATCATGTTCTTTTATGTGGCGACATAAATTTCCCTCAAACGGATTGGAGAATTAACCAAAGCACGAGTATATACATGAAAATGAAATTTTGGAATTAGTAGACGAAGCCGAAATGAATCAAATAATTGAATTTCCAACTTGTGGTTCAATTATATTAGATGTCGCTCTAATGAGGGGGCTGGAGGGTTTCACTGAAATTTGCACGAATTTTCAAAAAAAGCTATGATATAACAGATCACAGACCTATATCGCTGAAAATTGAAATAGATGTTTAAGACGAAAAACCAGTCAAAGAAAGTTTTTATAGTTTTTGCTCGGCGGACTATGATGGCATGATTGATTATATGCAGAAATATCCCTTTTCACCTATTTGTTTACCAATATATCAACAATCTAATTTCAAATTTTGTTCCAAAACGAACCATGCATAGACAAAAATTACCACCTTGGGTGAGTCCAAAGACTTCAAATTTGATTAAAATTCTAGAAACAAAGCAAAAACAATTCGACTCAAGGCCTACTCCCCATTTGCAGGAAACGATAACGAATTTTGAAAACAGTTTAATGCAAAATATGGAACTAGAACGAGTAGAGTACCAAGAAAGTATCTTAGTTTCTCGAAATACTAACTTGATTTTCAAACATTTCAAAAACTTGAAAAAGCAGAAGTCGAGCCTACCGCGTGAAATGGAATTAAATATTAGGAGTCAACTGAAAAAGTCGAAAAATTAAATAATTTTTTCCACTCTGTATTTACTCCGAAATTGAAATTTAAAGTAACAGACATTGCTTGCGAAAATGCTTCCCTCATAAATTTTGACATATCTCAAAACAAAATCCGAGAATTGTTGACTAAACTGGATGTAACAAAAAGTAAAGGCCCGGATGGCCTGCCGCCTTGTTTTTTGAAAAGTTTAGCTAAACCGATGAGCTCCATTTTAAATGCTATTTTCAAAAATATCAAGAGGGTACGATGTGTACCTAAATTCTGGAAAAGTGCTGCTATTTCGCCCATACACAAAAAAGACGACAAAAAGCAAATA